CCACTCCAATATTCATGTAGCCAGCTTTGATCGATGTAGGAAGAGTAGGTCTCGAAAAGGTAAAAAGATAGGTATTTGTTTGAACAACATCTCCATCTTGCTTCCTGGTAAACCTTTTGACGGCAGTTACACCTTGTTGTCCTAATTCTGAAACAATCTCCTGCTCTGACATGTCAGACAGACAACGGGTCCAGTCACGCACAATGCCACGGCAAGAGTTAAGTGTTCTGTGCTCAGACACAGCAACCTCAATATTGGCTAACAATTTGACAGATAGTAGATTGAGAGATTGCTGTTTCTTTGCACATTCAACCAGGAGGGAACTACTACGTTGACGAGTCACGTTCTTCACCTCTCCACAAATTCCGGAAATGGCTTTCGATACAGCAAACGGATTGAGTTTGATAGGTTGTTTATCAAGGGTCTCTATTACTAGGAATCGAGCCCAGGTATCGATATGTTGAGATACATCATCAGTTTCTGCATCAACATCTAAATGTCTTCGTTTTGGACGGTTGGAACCAGACAATTGAAGGGCCATGGTGAAAGGAAAATATTTCAGCACCCCTGCTCCCCACCCACCATCGAGCACCAACAAGGGCAGTGTTACATTGCATCGGATCTCCAGCATGCAAACACCAGGGATACAGGGGTGTTATACTCCAGCAAATATGACATGCATAGCTACATTTGTCTACAAAGTTGACTGCCAGACTGGTTCTGCCCATAACAATAAACTAGAGACATATAGAATACAGTGGTCAACATTACCAGATTGGCCCATGAGCCACCGCCTTCTGGCATTAGACTCTAGGCAATTTGTAACATAAATAAGTTGTGAGTTCAAATATGTAATATATTGGCCAAGACCAAACAATATATTTATAAAAATCACGAGTGTGCATACACAATTTAATGCACAGGGCTTGGCATGACCAGCCGATTGATAGGACCGGGCCCATCCTACCACCCGTCTAGGCGAAGTAAGGGTCAAAGTAGTGTGTTGGGCAAAGGAACACTGTTCCTGGAACCAGTGCCCTCAACTACCAGACTCCCGTCCTCCGCCGACACAGGGACGCAACCCACGGCAAACAGGTTGCCCATTTTAGTCGCCTCATACGACCAGCAATGGGAGGCTGTGGAAATATTCTGCCCCGGTTCCACACAGGGGAAGAGCGATTAGCGTTACCCAGCACTCACCACGAGGAGGTTGCTCTTCACGAGTGCCAACACAAGCAGTAACACCAGTACCATACTGTCAGGCCATGAACACAAGCAGTAACACCAGTACCATGCAGTCAGGCCATAAACACCAGCAGTATCACCAGTTTCATACCACAAGCCCATGAATACAAACAGTATCACCAGTATCTTACAGCCAGCCAGCCAGCCAGCCAGCCAGCATTCGGTATATTCAGAAGGTTTGTGATCCTATTGAAATACAGCCGTAAAGGAAAAAAACGTACGGACATTTCGATCTCACGCAAGTTTCAGCGTACAGACATACATCAAGGTCTGTTGTCATGTGAGATATGCGACTAAGGTGTTTGAATTGGTTGGTGTCCGAAACAATTATTCAACAGATTGAAATAAAATAGTCAGGTTTCAGGTGTCTCCGCTGTTATGAAACTTTTGAATGGTTTCAGCATGTATAAAGTTGTAAACAAGCTACATTGTAAAGGGTTAAAATTCAAAAGAACTACGAAATGCTCTCATGTATCCACACGAACAATGCTAGTGTCATCGCCGGGCATGGGACACGAATTGACTGCAAAAGAAATCTGCTCGTTTCAAAACGTAGCGTTTTAATGATTGAAATATGATTTATACTTGAAAGTGATGTCTTTTAAATTACACTTGAAATTGTTAGTCCTGTGTGAATAACCCCTTGATTTTATCGTATGCCTATAAACCACTCAACAGTAAGAACACTGTGAACATACAGAAAGACATTATTGACATTTAAATTCACTCACCCATGATGGACTAGCTAAATAAATACAACCTGTCAGTTTGAGTGTGTATTTGTATAAAGCTATTGAAATTTAAAAGAAGTTGAATTACATCAATGTATTCGCTTATGTTGGTCGGTAATAACACAACTACTTTGGTGAAATCTGAAGTATCTACTCTCTTTTATTGAGACAACCCCCTCCTAATCCGAAATAAGCAAGACACTTGCATGACTGATTTCTAGACAACTTCGCACGACGCCCCAGTGGGAGATCAATGAAAAATAAGTTTGTCACAATTCTGCGAATGAAGAGTCTCTTCCCTTCAAAACTTCTTTTTGAATCTAGTTCAAATTACACGACTCTATAATAGCCGTTCAGTCCAGTAACCCATGAGCGTAGGAAGTTATGTGCGAAGTAACTTATACATATGGAGATAATGACGTCACTTCTAATACTAATGGGTGAGTATGGTTTTACGCCGTATTCCAGCAACATCACGGCGGTACACCGGAAATGGGCTTAACACATTGAACCCATGTGAGGAATCGAACCCGCGTGACGAGCGACCGCTTAAATTACTAGGCTACCCCATCACCCCACTTCTAATACGAAGCTGTACATGTCAAACATAAGTTATGCACAACTTACACACACGTTATACACAAGTTAAAGACAAGTTAGAACTCATATGTTGGGAATAGCACATGTTGATAGACAATAACAGTAATGTCTTATGTTTGGGACACATGAGTACACATGATTATTCCTTTGCCTGTACCTGCTGACAATGAACAAGGCCACGCTACATATATTATTGGAAGAGTCATCCGTGATTCACACAATTTAATTGGCTGTTACAGTTGCTTGCGTTCACGTGGTGCATACATAACAGGTTATTCGCAGCCACCCTGCCAGACAGTCACAGCTCTGTGCGGTACAGACTAAGCTCTGTGAAAATGGGACGTTTCATGGAAGTGGCGCTACTCCTGGTGTCCCTTGGAATCGTTGACGGTACGTTTTTATTTGTTGTACTAAACACATTCGTCTTGGCTTAAGCATGCACTCCTGCAGTACAAATAGCAGTAATTTAGCAGGGGTTAATTAGTGTTTAATAATAGGACGATACTTGTACTGGACGAACCCACGTTTAGATATATACGTTGTAGATTGTTTAGAGAACTAAAACAACATTATTTTTTATTATATTATTATTGTTATTATTTTGTATGATGTATTTTTACCATGAAGGTATAATTTGGTATGTAATCAGAAAATTAAGTAAAATATGAAATTATTTCAAGTATATGACCTGTTTTTAAACAAAACTACCTTATGCACAAAATACAAGCACCTTACAGGCCGAAAAACAAGCTAACAAACTAAACAAAGTGTTGTACTGAGGTAAACTTTTTATTTACATGAGTATATTAATATTATATTGCATAATGCTAAACTTGAACACAAGGATGTTTATTTTGTTTGTTTGTTTGTTTGTTGTTTAACGCCGCACTCAAGAATATTTCCGCTATGTAACGGTGGTCTGTAAATAATCGGGTCTGGACCAGACAATCCAATAGACCTACAAAAATCAGTTTTCTTGCCATCTCCAGAAGTTTGGGCCTTGAAGTGGACTTCCTTGTCACATGATGAGTTTGTTAGAATTCACTGAGCCTGAAACTAACAGTCCACCCAAGTGGACATCTCGGGTTGGTTGAAATGTAATTTCTTTGGTTATCACTTTCTTTGTCCCACTACATTTATCGTTTCGTGCCGAAACGCTAGATCTCAATTTGCTATGGTTCACCATTCGTTTCCAGACTTTCAGTGACTCAACATTTGCATCAAATTTATTAGATTTTTTATGGTGTATTTTTTTCATTTCATTATTAGTTTTTTCAAGGGCCTGGCAGCTGACTCACGAACAGGGTCATAGCGAGAAACAAGGCCAGTGACGTGGTAAACCAAACAGAATAAATAGCGTTGTTCGCATCTTTTGGTACAAATTCATTTTTATTACCTTTTGAAGGGAATAACTGAACTCAACTTTGAGTCAATTCAGATGCATCCATTGCGAGGTACCTGGAGTACATATTTTGGAATAGATTTCTGAAAGGTTTGCCAATGGTTGATGATGATGATCTCAGTGTCAGGGTTAAATTTGCCTCTAAGCTGGGGATGTTCATAATTTTAAAGCTTGTTTTTCTTTTCCTGTACCCAGAGACTTTTCCAATTTAGTTTTCTGTTCTATTTCCTTTTCCCAAACAGAAAAAGATACTCCACAGGACCTGATACAGTGAACTGTCTCGTCAACATTTCTTTCCTTCTCTTTTTTTCAACTAGACATTTACCCACGAGGCATGGCTCAAATTCCTTTCAAGCACATCTGTTATTCTAAGTAGTTGATTCAACTCCTCCCCAGGGTAGTTTTGAACTTCAAGGTTAGTACGCGAGGCATGGAGAGGACAATGGGAACATTTGTCTGCACATGTTGTTATGTTCTCTACTGTACGCCTGAGTTCCCCTGTGTCACAGTAACCCCAGGGCCTAGTCACGTCGTGTCTGTCATTCCACATTCTGTATGACTGAAGAGGACGACATCTCATTACATACCCCTACCCCTGTGTGAGTCTGTGAATTGGGGACTTATCAGGTGGAAGAGTAGCTCTAAAACCATGTGACTTTGCCAGTTGAAACAGCATGTTACATTAAGAGTATAAAGCATTCCAAGATGGCGCATTTCAGATAGAGTCTGTACAAGAGATGGAATGCACAAACGAGTCTTGATACTTAAAGAATAGTACAAGAAAGTCATAAGTATAGATTATAATTATGTGATTGTGGGGATTATGTATTTTCCACATGCGTGAATCAGACATCAAATAGATTTCCCGAAAATTCGCAAGCTATCGGAGTTTTGTTGAAAAATGATACGCGAGTATACGATATTAATATTAGCTGTTTTCATCTGAAAAAGAATGTTATGTGAAAACTCGGACTAGCAACTCTGAATAAAGTATCTAGAGCTGCAAGATAATTTCTGTTTAGGATCAACAACTCCCATGACACAATCCCCGGCCTCAACACCTGCAGGTGTATCAACACTACCCACACCTGTATCCAGCAACTCAGGGACAGGCGGACAAGACTATGCTGAGGGTATAAGTATACACATATCTTCTTTGAGTTTAAAGCCGTTTTGAGCAATATTTCAGTTATATCATGGCGTGTCATGTTGATGTGGGAGGGGAACCCGATGTGATGCAAGTATATACAATGTAAGGAAATAACAAATATGTATTTCAAAGTCGTCATCCTAAAATATAACATTCAAAGACTCATAATATATAATCCGGTTATTAAAATCTGTATATCTATTTGAGCTTTGGTAAATTGTATACATTGTCTTTGATCACTGCTTATGGATTATCGTATTGCTGTTTATGATCATGTTGTTAACTTTTTCGGTTGATGTGTCTGTGTGTGTATTATCTGGTGTGTTCTGGGGTGCGACCACCGACATGCCCGATAAGCGGAAGAGCGGTGGCTCGATCCCCTGGTCGCGTAAAACCCAATCGCGGTACTTTAAAGATGGTACTTGTTGTGTCCCTTCCTGTAGACTAAAATCTAGTCTCTGAAATGAACATATCGTACATAAAAAAACAGTTGTTCAGTTATCTTAATAAAAATATAATAAAAAGGAGCCCAGTGACTCTCTTCATATTCAGGTACACAGTATGAGTCCTAATGACACACATTTCTCAGTTTGTTTCTTCATAAGTGCGATCAAGAGTGACACAACAATGACAGTAGCATGGCTTTATTTTCTACTGCCTTGTATAAATAGGGAGAAAGTTCAAATGTCAACGATTTTCCTCTACCGGTTGGAGAGCTAAACAACACATCTTTACCATTTAAATACCTTTCAATGATGAAGCAATAAGCTCATCCATGTTCCTATTTATTCTTACAAGCAGAAAAGAAGAATGGCAATTATTCTTACACAGCAACGTAAAACCTTTAGAAATCTTCCTCTCTCCACACCAGGGTAACAATGAAACAAGTTAAGAATATGTCACTAAGTCTCCAATATAATCCCACATGTTGTCTGGCCAGAGTGAGTTGGCAGGGCCGGAGCGGGAGCGGGAGGTCTTGTCACAGTGTGGGGTCTTGGGGAGTGGGGGACGAGGTTCGCCACATCCTAATACTAAACACTAATGACAGCTAAAGATTTACTGATAATTACAAGCTCTGTGCTCGCTTGTGAATTCAGCAGATTTGTACAGACCCTAATACTGCAGTGATCTAGACTTGCTAAACATTATAGACTTGCATGGGCTGTATTTGATATATATTTGTATCAGGGTCTGTAAGACAGACTATCCCTTCCTGCAGCTCGGCATTATAAGGACTGGTCAGCTCGGAGTCACACACGTGCAAGCACGTTGCTATATAAATGCAATACCATTGAATGCGACGTTAAACCACATTTCACCTCACCTCACATCTCTGAGTGTCGAGATAAACATGTGGAAATAGTTATACATCAATGCAATATTGAAAAAAATTCTGTCAATTATCCCTAAAACAGTATACATTAAATAATGACAGTCGGTCCCTTTAAGTAATAATGAAACAATTTATTGTTATGTACAAATAGTTCCATATAAAATGAAATAGAATTAAAGTCATATAACACATGTGTTTATATTTCCACGCTCGTTTTGAAATACTGAAACCGAAATTGATTATCATGACTCATAGCTCATAACTTAGAACTCGTGATGATCATGAGAAACATACATTATTATGTCACCAACATTTCAACAGATATCATTGATATATTAGACATTAATCAGACACCAGCGTCATGTGTTTAGAGACGGGATACAGGTAAGTCGGGATACAGGAATATGAAGAACGGGTGGTGCTCAACTTTTTTTCTCCAAATGTACGGCGTCTCTCTGATTATGATCACATTCATATCCATAGCAGCAGACATGCAAATAACACTGTTTTCATGTTGGCTTGTTCATACGCTTGCATTCGGTACATGTGACCCCATATTCATACTGACAGTCATATAACGACCAACTGTATCGCGGTAATGTCAATCCAAACGAGAGATAACGTCGTTCAGCGTGGGAATGTTCAGAATGCCCTTAGTTACACTGTCACTGTGACTTACTGAGGAAGTGATGAACGAAACGATGTTATTGACCAGGAACGCGTGAGTAGGTTCTTATTCTCGATGCTGTTGTAGTTGTTTATCAGATCGTATATTACAGGCTGCCATGAATTGAGTAACTGTGCACATTTGCTCTCGTCATATTGTAGTTCTGGATAGATGAGTGTGTTCTTAATATATAGAAGAAATCATGAAAGAGTGATTATTGTCGTTTGGCGAATGATTTAATGACTTTGGATAGCAGTCACATTAACACATATTTGGTTTCTAACCTCACAGTCATGTAAATCACAATGCATAGTGGAGAGAAAATTATCAATTGTCAGAAGCAAGAATGTACCGTTGTTATCCATTCTGAAACCCTACTAACAAACTGTATATACTTCTTCCAGGTGTGAGCTACCTACTGGTATTTTTTCAAGATCAGTTGTTTCTTGGTTATGGAGTTACAGTGGCAGCTGGGGAAACAGGGGGATCCGTCCTCATTGATTATCCACAGCAGGGATATAACGACACAAGGACTGTAAAGCCATACAGGTACACAAATGTTCGGGTAGACCATTCATTGGCTGTATCGGTAGGTGTGGAAACCAAGGCTTTTGTCGTCTACGTCTTTGGTAAGGACATGAGTGTTTACGGAGACATGGGAAACGCAGCATTTTCTCTCCTCCCGATATCTGCCCTAGGTTCCAGGTATGTAGTTTCCGCCTGTCTGGGATACCTGACACAGGCGGTGTTAGTGATAGCTAACCACAAACACAAGACGGACGTGGACATCACGCTGATGCTGGAGGGGAACGCCACCTATGACAACATGACCTACAACGGCGGAGACACGATTCATGTGACTCTAGATGAGTATCAGACCTTCACGATGAAGAGTGACTATGACCTGACTGGAACTGTAATCAACGCAACAAACACTGTAGCTGTGTTCTATGGGGCAATGCAAAACAGTTTTATCCATACCCTGGCGCAACTATTACCTGTAAGACATCATGGGACGGAGTATGTCCTGCATGCAGGTGACCACTCCAATCCAGGCATGAAATACCAGCTACAAGTTATTAGTGACCAGAGCAACACTGCAATTATGTTGAACAATGGATCTACAATCTCTCTTGATGAAAACCGCGTATATCGCCAATACATCGCCTACAATGACAGTCTGTATTTTAATGCCACAAGACCTGTCATGGCAACCCTGTGTACAGACGAACGTTTCGCTGTAGTAGCTCCAGTACCTTATTTCGTAGACAGTGCATTGTTTCCTTTTCGAGGCTGTATAAACATACTGACTAAACAACATGTAACAGATATTGAAGTATTCAGCATGTCTATATATCCTGTTAAAATGAGCCCTGCTACATTGGACTGGGTGGACATCTCCGGCAGTGATTACAAAGCGGGAATAGTTTGTTCAGGTGATGGGTACCTTATCCGCTCTGCCAGCAGATTCGCTGCATATGTGTTTGGATACGACATTGTTAATGAAGGCTACCGTTTCCCTACTGAGCCACCATCTACAGGTGCTGATGCAGGTGAGTTTGAAGATACCTTGAAATTGGAAAAGAATTTAAGCTCAGTATACACATGCCATGTTTACGGTGTAGAGCTGTGTTATTTGTACATTTATCCCTGTATTGAATTTGGAACTGAAAACACCATTAACAGTATGACGCATCTCCATGTTATGATACTCAAGCCATAAGTGGAACCGGTGGTGGTGTTGAGAAACTACACCTTCGCAATTTATGCCCCAGTTTCGCAAAATAACACCACACAAAGCGAACACCACCACCAAGCGAACAACACTCCCTGCCCCTCCCCTGGAGAACTTTTACTGATACAGGCTCGTCCCAAGAGGATGAAATCGGCTGACATTCATGTAATTCTCGTCCCAACCTGTATAAAGTATCCCCATGTTTGGTTTTACATTTATTTTTGTTTTATTAGTTTTATTCCAACACCATTTATACCATAAAACTTAATTTATCTTCTATAATTGTTTACAAATACATATGAAATGTATCATTTCCGATGTTTGTTTATACGACCGTGCTTATGTGCCGTATATATAAGTCTGTGCTATTCTTTATTCTAAAAAGATATGTTTGGTGTTTGATTACATATGCAGTTTGAAATGAAGTAACGAAACAATCTACAATCAGACAAATGATCTGAGACACGAACGTCTCCATTATAATATTTGTAAAATATTTTAATAACTTAGGAGTTGATATGACAATTCATGTACAATTATTATACGACCAAACTGCAGTCATTGTGAGTGTACTTGATACACAGTATGTCTTCATCTCATTTTGAATGTTCACATTTCAATAACATTAAGAGGGCATCATGAGTGAATGTGTGTGAAGTGACGAAAGAGAATGTGTGCGTTCAATTATCAATTCTGTCAACTTCCGTTTGTTGTACACACTAACTCCAACGTTTGCCGCCCTTTGTCACTGACCTCTAACCACGGAAATTATTTTACATCCGACTTTTGTATCGTCAATACTTAGAGTACGGCTTGTAAGCGCTATAAATCGCCAATGCTGCACGGGCTTGAAAAGGCTATACATCTTCAACACTTCACTGACTTACACCCCACTGCACGTTGAACAACTGTGGATGTGCTCCATATAGGGGCACGTGTGATTATTGTCAAATAGTGTATAACAATATATATCCTAGCAATACGGGCCTTTGGTGTGGCGAGCGAACACTTCAACCACAAGGCTACCGTAGTTTTGCAATGAATTCGGGAATGGCTAGATTTCATTAAAAAACAAATTCCCGAATACATGGCACGCATGTACCTGAAGGTCATCCTGTGATGTTAGAAGGGTGTTGACACTATTTGTTTCACGTGACAACCATTCTCACCCGGGAATCTCTCTGCTTCATTTTTTATTTGTACTCTCACTTTTATTATCATCCATAAACGTTGACTATGCACATTTAACACTTATTTCAATCGTATATCCTGTTTGCCTTTAAAGCTGTGTTTTATTTTCCAATTGAATATTGGTATTTAAATTTTATAATTAAGTAAAGGACTTTTGTAGTTGAACTGTTTCCACAATTACTCAGATTGATAATATTGACTTTTTAACATTAATTCCACTGAACATTGTTTTTCTCTCTCCACAACTATTTTGTCATTTAGAATGTACAGGTGTTGCTGCAAAGGTAATATGATTTAGTACACTTATAGTATACCCTACAAAAGCATAGTTTGTAGATCTCATTAAAATCTTAGTCGTATATTGAATACTGTATCTGCAATGCGATATCAAGTCATATATCAATATTGTGAACAGTTACACAAAGTACTCACTTCAAATATTGTACAGTGGAGCCCTTTAATACCAGACTATGAAATATTCGTGTTAACGAATCATTGGTTGGGGTAGGGGTCGACACGTCCATTTGTCTGCTGGTCCGAGACTAGTGATATATTGTAAGGACTGGTCATCATAAACAAACAACTAGTTTGAGAAGAATTGTGGACTAGTTGGATTTAGCTCGTGACATCTACTGTTATCTACTGTCTACACGTGACATTGATCTCATATTGTGCTGCCATCTGCTTGTAGGTTGAACAAGGACAATGCAAGCTTCTCCAGGTGACTTCAAGATGGTCACATCGTATTGTATGGTTCAGAGAAACAGACGAATGAAGGGGTTGTAAAATAACTCTTGCCATGAGACATTTCACATGCTTAACATTTCTTCAGGTGTGTACAAAAAGGACAGCGTATCAGAAAGTGTCCAGAAGATGAGGTTTTCAGATTGACGGGGTACCGGACTGGTGGGTGTCTGGTCTGACAGGGGTCTGGTCTGTCGTGTACATGTCTAATGTGACATGGCAGTAAATTGTTTGTTTAAGCATTATGGGCCATGTTCAGCTGTTACTTCACATGCACTGTAGAATGTTCAATATATAAATTCAGTTATCTGTTGATCAAAATACCCTTCTCTTGTAGGAATTGCTATTGTTTAACATTGTGTGGATATTTTAGATTCCCCAAGACACATGAGCTTGAAGATCGAAATTTGTGAAATGGCCTAATCCTCTGGACACTGATGTACATTTGCTGTGGACTTGACGAAGTGAAATCGTAGCTCAAGGAATGTGATTCTTTCCCCTTTCTTGCTGATTGTTGTTTTGATCAAAGTGTACAATGATGATGCATTTCTATGTTACGTTCTTTTGTTTATTTGCTTGTTTGTTATTAAACGCCGCACGCAAGTGTGGACCAGACAATCCAGTGATTGCCACCATGAGCATCCGTCTACAATACAGGATACGATAACATTCATCAACCAAGTCAGCGAGCCTGACCACCCGATCCCGTTAGTCGCCTTTTACGACAAGCATGACTTGCTGACGACCCATTCTAACCCGGTTTGGCGTATGTTTGTTTCCAGAGTCTACAGAGGTATTAACTGCTGTCGTCAAATGGACTGAACCAACTACGGTTATAACGATGTGAGCTGATATAAATAATCGGGTAAGAGGGACATGGGTGGCCCAGTCAAAGCCGATGGAATTCACTATGCAGATGTGTGCCACTGTGTGCCAGAAACCGATAATCATGGGTTCGAATCCAGATTCGCATTCATTGTGTTGCTGTTTGTCACAATCAAATCCGTGCTTGTGGCAAAGGCTACGTGCATTGCTGAAAGATGTGTGTTAAAACATTCAAGTATCTGTTTATCAATATCCCCTTTTCTAGTTGTAATGAATGCTTCATGTTTGACATTTGGTTTACATTTTAGATTCTCCAAAACACATGAGCTTGAAGACCGAAATTTGTGAAATGACCTTAACCTATGGACACGGATGTACACTTGCTATGGACTTGAAACGGATTGTAACCGTTTCCCCATTCATGTTGATTGTTTGTTGTTTCACTCAAAGTGTACGAAAATGAAGCATGTCTTTGTGTATGACTGTTTCTGTTTGTTTGTTGTTGAACTGCGCTCTGGAGTCGGGATCAGACGGTCCAGTGATTGACATCATGAACATTGATCTACGCAATTTGGTACGATGACATGCATCAACTAAGTTAGCAAGACTGACATACGATCCCGTTAGTCGCCCCTCATGAGAAGCATTTGCTATGGACCTGGCACCGAATGTTTCATGTTGATTGTTTGCTGTTTTACTCACAGTGTATAACAAGGAAGCATATCTATGTGTATGGCTGTTTCTGTTTGTTTTGTTTTTGAACTCTGCACTGTCGCCCCTTATGACAAACACGGGTTTCTGAAGACCCATTCTAACCCGGATGTTCACGGGAGTATTATGTTTCCAGAGGCTAGACATGTATTTGTTGCTGTCGTCAATCAACTTCGGTTATAAAGAACATGTCAAAACAGAGTGTTTGTTTATTTTAGTTTAACGCTCCACTCCACAGTTGTACAACCATCACGAGCACCGATCCATGCAACTGGAATACGACGACATGCATCAAGCAAGTCAGCGGGCCTGACCGCCCGATCCCCTTAGACGCCTCTCTTGCCTGGGATATATTACCCTGGAGCAACACTGATTTAATTCAGTTTCTTAATTTCAAGTTGAGTAGAAACCATATGTCTAATGCAAGGCACCTACAACCTGGCCTCAGTTCTATGATAAAGAGATCTGACCAATGTAGGACAACATTTGATAAGAAAAAGATAATTCCAAAGCATGACAGTTGCAGTGAATTTTTATAATGAGTGACAACAACTTTATAAACAGATTACTATTGATTAGATTAAGTTAAAGTCACTCTCAGTGCAAACTCTTTCTAAACTGACAATAAGTTTGCTTACTTGATAGTTTGAGCTAGTTCAAAAATCCTAGTCTCAGAAAAATACATTTCATTTGTCTCTATTGCGTATGACAGTTGAATTGATGCAGTGCTTTGAAAATAAATTCATAACGAAATTGTTTTTTGATACCTTGAGGGAAAATTGGCAGATATGTTTCGATTTCAATACAATTATTTATTTGTATATCTTTACTGTATTATCAAAGGCACAAAAATATACAAATAACAAACTTGAATCCATTCAAGGCAACAATTTGACTATGCATTGTGTTCAACCCTGAGTGTGTGGTACACGTATCAAATTAACAAAATAACATCAACTTGTCCTGGATAAGGAGAATATGTTAAAATGTCAGAGCAGGAACAAGACAAGAGTCTGGGCAAATAACCTTTCTACAAATGGGACCAACAATGTTTCTCTGTTCATATGTATCTAGCACTACATACCAAGGACCATAACTCTGTATCCAGGACTTGTAAATTCAGGAGTTTCTAGCTTAACAGTGCCTGGACTTACAAAGTTCTCTGTACATATAAATGTTTCACTAAATACAAAGGGCCATAATGCTGGGAATTGAACCCAGGTCTTTGGCATGACAAGTGAAAGCTTTAACCACTAGGCTACCCGACCGCCCCTAAACAATAAAGTGGTTGTCAACATAACAAAGAGCAACTTTGTGTATATTATTACTCAGCAAACATGCTGTAAAGGCACAGGGACATGATCCCTCTCACTGACCTCTCAAATATACCCTAAAATCAAGGTAGAATATCATAAAATCATGGTAGACAGATAGTATCATCACATATTCCGAGAGATAAAGAAAGAAAGTGATATTACAAGATTGAATCTGTATAAAAGTATAAATCTGACATCTGAATAAGTGCACTATCACAACCGACTTCCCCCCATGACATTAGAGGATCAACCAGTCACGCTGATAGTTCATCATTCTCCTCCTCCTTCAATCAATAACGTCAAGGGCTTCAGAAGCTGTAGCATCAGGGAACACAGAGTTGTCTTGTCAATTTCAACTTTGTCATTCTATCAAAGTGACATTTTTGCATAGAGTACTACTATCTCTCAAAAACATTGAAAGATTTAAGAACGTTGACAGTGTCCTGCTTCCTTCAGTCTGTGTGTGACACCAGCAGCAGGTGTGACGTTATTTCTTCAGCCCTATTTCTTTTGCCACGTAGTTGGAGACTTGCACATGCAGCTGATCTTTGGTTTCCCCGTAGACGGTGGAGGCAAACGTCTTGGCTGCGTCCGACCCCTTCATCAGGGCCTTGTAGATGGGCAGTGTGTACTTCTGTTTGCCTGGAACAGTCCAAAGTGTCCATGAATATAGAATTCTGTTAAAAAAAACAGAAACCCCCTAACAAAAACCTCCTCACATAAACTCGGGAACAATGGATGACATCATCTTCAATTATTCATGACAATGAATTAATTTGATGTCATATTGTTTTATGGGCCTCTTTGCAAACAAATGTTCACAAACCTGTTTTTGCATTCATGTTTCAATAAAATAAAAAAAAGGGGCCATGCCTACTAACAGACAACTGTTTCCTGATTGGCTAAAAATCGCATGGGAGCGGCTTGTGTTGCATTTTTGTGCTGAACGATTATACTGATTTCGCATTGTCGCCTACAGTTTTTTGTGCGTTATAAGGCTATATAAGGCTAACAAAATCATAATCTTGATTCTCAGGCACCGTTCGCATTATCACAAAGTCTGCCGCACGTTTCATTTTATTTTCATTTGAAAAAAAACCACTAAAAATCCTAAAATATTCCAACAGTAGTCAAATACTGTATTCAAGTATTTTACTCATCGAGGAATACATTTGTGTAGGGAGGCATTTTCCTTTTGGTTACATACTAGTTTGAACACCTACACCCTCCCAAAAAAAGACACTGTCTGCCCGCACTATATTTTCAAAAACCCATTGCCTGAGAACCAATTTTTTATCTTATTCAGCCTAACAGATGATTTCAATCCATTATGTTTGCACTTATAGAGGTATATAAACAGGTGTGCTCACTTTGTGTACATCCGCTACAATGTGCACACTGAATACTGAAAAACGCTTTCCAGATGTAGCCAACTGATGATCTTGTTTCTTAGAATGAAAAGCCGAGAGTTACTTCCCTTCCCCAGGAAATATACTTGAGAAAAGTGGGGAGTCGGTTGGGTGCCGTTTATTTTAAAATGTGAACAGCAGCTATGTGAATGATTCATGCCCTCCTTACCTTGGCTATGCAGGAAGTCCTTGATGTCTGGGAAGGCTGGCTGGTAGTCATTCTTGATGCAGATTTGAGCCCATCTCAAACAGATCTGAAAGCAGGATGACACAATTATCCTGTGGAACATATTATACCTCTTAACTTTTGATAGGGGTAACAGGGATATTGAGACCTGCGCAGAAGCTTGGCAGCAAATATCAGTAATAATTCCAAAACTGCACTTAAAAGAATGTTAACACACTTATGACTTATGTTACGGCTGTGTGGAGGTGACTTGTATTTCACAGATAACCAATACAGAGGAAGAGGCTCCCATGCTGAGTTTTACATTATTGCTTGAATGCATGTTAAAATACAATGTTAAAATACGTCTGAACTTACAAAAATATCAATCCCAGTCCTCAAATCCCAATTTTAAACCCAAGCCATAAAAGCAAAGATGTGTAAATAAGTTGATAACATTACTCATTTTCTGACATACGTTTGTGTGAAATTCTCTGACATACAGACAATAGGTTTGTGTGAAATATTTCTCATTGGCATTGTTAACCATGTTACCAAAATTGAAACAAATAAGAAACAAGGTATCAGTTTATTGCATCCTTTCTGACTGAACTACTAACTGACCTCTGCGTTGTGTGACCTTGCCAGGTGAGGGTACTTCTCGGCTATGGCGGCCAGAGTCTCGGACTTCAGTGCAGACTTCTCCAGCAGCTTGTTGAGGAAGTGGAGCAACTGGTAGCTCTTCCAGGAACTGATGTCACGGAAACTCTCCTGGAGGAGACACAGAAAACATGGAAATGAACATGATCTGGACCTCAGACAAAATTACATAGAAAACTGACAGGAGAGTCGGAAATCATCTAAGATGTAAACATGAACTTAATGAGCATTGTAGACAGTAAAATAACAGGTTTGTGAAGATATCACAAGCTTTACATCATTCAGCAGCTGATCCAGGATTTAGAAAAAGGGAGGTTGGAAATTATATTTAAGTTATGAAAGGAACAAAACCACACGGTAGGTTTTAATGTAGGGCACCTTAAAAGGGGGAGGATCTACTTGTGCATCTGCAGCTGTTCACTTAAAGAATTGCAGGATTCAGCAAGCATCTGCAACCAGTCTAACCCACAGTAGCAATTACAAGTTCATCATCTAAAAGTAAACACATCTGATACATGGCTCATGTCATGCATCTTACCCAGGCAAGGGAGTTAACTGCCTACGAAAATCCAGTTTCAACCCTTGACAAACTACGCTGGAATTTTGTGGCTCAATCAAAGCGTAACCATTTGATATTACGAGTATGTCCCATCTATGTGCCTCCTATTGACCAATCAGATTCCACCTCTCATCTCACTTGCATTTACTTCAAACAAAATGGAACGCCTTGTCAAGACAATCTGATTGATAATCATGATCTATGTTGTTATAAAAAAAGTCTTACTTTGTGAAGAGCATCAAATCATTTGAGCACCTTGATCAAAAACATGAAAAGATTTGAAAGATATATGTCAAAGCCCAGTTGACTGTAGAGTTTTGCAAACACTACAGTTGACGGAAATCTGCACATTGAAATCCATGTTGTTTACGAACTGGATGTCTAGTTCGTTGCACATTTTTTATTGGACTATGCAAAGACTCATTAGACAAGCCAACTCATGAATTCCAGCCAAGCTTCAGTCGGAAAGTGGACTTTTGCAGTCAGTTAACTCCCTTGCTTTGGGAAGATGATATTGTGCTGTACCTCAGTTGTCTCCCCTGCCAGGGCATCAGCCAGTTGTTCTGCTGGCTCGGTCAGCTCTTTGCCTGCTGAGAGATCAGGGACATACGGCGGCCAGCCGGGGGTGTTGAGCCATCGGTCAAACTCCAAACCTTCCCTGTCAACAGATGTGTAGATCGTGAAAAGTGTATACAAAACAAATAGTGGATGGTCAAAGCCAGGGGTAAATATCAGTGTAAGAGGAAACCTGGGGTCCATGGAGGTATTTGAGGTGGTTCATTGTTTATTGAACACAACTAAAAAGACAAATCAGGGACTAATTCCAATAGGATTCACCTTAGGTGGCCGAATGGACAAGCATTGGTTGCTAGGGGCCAATTCTTACATGGAATGATCTAAGTTGGCTCAATGGAAGAAGTATTGGTTGCTGGGGACCTATTCTAACCCGGAACCATCTCAGATGGCACAATGGACAAGCATTGGTTGCTGGGGACCCATTCTAACCCGGAACCATCTCAGATGGCACAATGGACAAGCATTGGTTGCTGAGGACCAATTCTAACCCAGAATCATCTCAGATGGCACAATGGACAAGCATTGGTTGCTGAGGACCCATTCTAACCCAGAATCATCTCAGCTGGCACAATGGACAAGCATTGGTTGCTGAGGACCCATTCTAACCCGGAATCATCTTATCTGGCACAATGGACAAGCATTGGTTGCTGAGGACCAATTCTAATCCGGAATCATCTTATCTGGCAGAATGGACAAGCATTGGTTGCTGAGGACCAATTCTAACCCGGAATCACCTCAGCTGGCACAATGGACAAACATTGGTTGCTGAGGACCCATTCTAATCCGGAATCATCTTATCTGGCAGAATGGACAAGCATTGGTTGCTGGGGACCAATTCTAATCCGGAATCATCTTATCTGGCAGAATGGACAAGCATTGGTTGCTGAGGACCCATTCTAACCCGGAATCACCTCAGCTGGCACAATGGACAAACATTGGTTGCTGAGGACCCATTCTAATCCGGAATCATCTTATCTGGCAGAATGGACAAGCATTGGTTGCTGGGGACCCATTCTAATCCGGAATCATCTTATCTGGCAGAATGGACAAGTATTGGTTGCTTGGGACCCATTCTAACCCGGAATCGTCTCAATGGACCAATTTGTACAAGGAATCCCAAAAGGACCAGGCTAGAAGACATACACACCGTTGGTCTGCTTTCTGTTCCTTGAGATCAGGGAAATACTGCAGGAAATACTCCAGTGTGTCAGATGCCACCACACTCTACAACAAACATCACAAAAGATTATCAATTGTCAAAAAGCACACATTCAATATAAGGGTAACGCTCTTTTTCAGGGCTTTATCATTTGCAGAAGCCCGAGGTCTTCCATTAATGTCCGACGAAGGAGAGGAGTTGAAAAGTCCGAGGGCTTCTACAAATGATAATGCCCTGAAAAAGACCGTTATTGTTAATATAGCTAACATGGATGTAATTTGTTATCAAATAAAAAGAAACAACAATATCGGTTTTGAAACAGTTACTGCAATCAACACGAATATCACTGACCCACTTTTACAGATATGGAAACATCACAGAACAAACCAGATGACGTCGCTATTGAACGAGACTTCACCCATCCCTACCCTACAACCGGCGTGATAATGGCCCATCATCAAGCAATATGAGGGCATTAAAAAATTACAGTGGCCCGCACATTTCTGATAGCATGCCGGCAGTTTAATGATAATTCTATCCATTTTAGCTGTAATTTGTGTTAAAGATCCTTACGATATAATGTGTAAATAGCAGAAATAGTCCAGAATTATCAACAACAAAAATTCATTCAAGTTAATTTTCATGATAACAACCACATAGCTATTCAACTGATCAAGTAGGTTAACCTTATAACAACAAGCAAAGGTAATTAAGAGTTGTCACAACAAACAAATCCATTTACCGTATTCGACGTAATAAGCGCCCCGCTCTAATAAGCGCCCACAGCGATATTTGTTAACATATTGGCTAGTGAACAATCCCAATTAGCACCCCTTTTGATTGATCAATGTACACAAGACTTATTTATTCGTGTATAATACACACTCGTGTTGTATATGCATCATTAATTATGAGCAATTAAATTCTGGAAAAATATATCTGTCGTATATAAACATGTCAGGCTGTCAGCATAAACCACGAAATTTATCTTTCACCTGTTTTTTTTCCACCAAAATACCATTCTAATAAGAGCCCCCTATTTCTAATTTTGGGCGCGCCCTGGGCGCTTATTACGTCGAATACGGTATGTGGAATGTAGATCTAGAGGTCATCCTACCCTGTATTTAAACTTGTCAACGTAGTCCTTGAGGAACTGGTCAAACTTGTGGACATCTCCGACTAGATGCTGCATGTAGCTGACAAAACAGTAGCCTTTCTCGTACGGCGTCTCGTTGTATGTGTCATCGGGGTCGACACCAGGCTCGATAACTACCTTCAGCTTGTTGAAGGGATGGTCCTAAACACAGAGCCAGGTTGTGAACATCAGCAGTATCAGAGTGTCTTAGAGCCAGGCCATGAACACAAGCAGTATCAGAGTGTCTTAGAGCCAGGCCATGAACACAAGCAGTATCAGACTGTCTTAGAGCCAGGGTCCCGTTCCACAAAGCGATCGTAACTACAATCAATCTTACGTCGATTGTGAAATCATCTTAGGTAAAGATTACGCCCGTTCCACAAAGCGATCTTAGGGCGATTGTAACTTTACAAGTTCTTAAGTAGCCGATCTTAACAAAGATCGGAATCTTCAGCCATGAAGATACGAAAGTTTCCCTAAGCATGCTAAGAGTGGCCTCCCTTGGTCATAACTTCTTTGATCGGCATTTAGAAGTTGGAGTTCTAAGTAAGGATAAGAATTTATGGATGAACAACGTCTTTATTACAATTAAGAGCGACGTTTCGGTGTAGGTTCTAACACCGTTATCAAGCAAGTGCACTAGAACCTACACCGAAACGTCGCTCTTAATTGTTATAAAGAAGTTGTCCCTTGGTCATGTTTAGCAGACCACGCATTGTCGAAATATGGCCATCTTTGTTGTTATGGTACAATATTTAAGATTGATTTTAGAGATCCTAAGTTGGTCCGGAGCAACTTAGCATTTTGATCTTAACTTACAACTCTCTTAGTTAAGATTGCTTTGTGGAACAGGCGGCCGATCGTAACCAAAATTTAAGATCGCGTACTTATTGAGTTACAATCAACTTAGCCCTAAGATCGCTTTGTGGAACGGGGCCCTGGCCATGAACACAAGCAGTATCAGAGTCTCATACAGCCAGGATATGAACACAAGCAGAATCACCAGTACTAGACAGTCAGGTCCATCTCGATTATCCATCCATCCATGCTCAGTCCACTCAGTATCATCAGTTTCATGTAGCTAGGATATGAATACAAGCAGTACCACTAGTATGATACCTACCTGTACAGTAGTGTCAGCATCAGCTACACCTACCTGTACAGTAGTGTCAGCATCAGCTACACCTACCTGTACAATAGTGTCAGCATCAGCTACTCCTACCTGTACAGTAGTGTCAGCATCAGCTACTCCTACCTGTACAGTATTGTCAGTATCAGCTACACCTACCTGTACAGTATTGTCAGCATCAGCTACTCCTACCTGTACAGTAGTGTCAGCATCAGCTACACCTACCTGTACAGTATCGTCAGCATCAGCTACACCTACCTGTACAGTATTGTCAGCATCAGCTACACCTACCTGTACAGTACTGTCAGCATCAGCTACACCTGCCTGTACAGTATCGTCAGCATCAGCTACACCTACCTGTACAGTATTGTCAGCATCAGCTACACCTGCCTGTACAGTATTGTCAGCATCAGCTACACCTACCTGTACAGTAGTCAGCATCAGCTTTATCTACCTGTACAGTATTGTCAGCATCAGCTACTCCTACCTGTACAGTAGTGTCAGCATCAGCTACACCTACCTGTACAGTATTGTCAGCATCAGCTACACCTACCTGTACAGTATTGTCAGCATCAGCTACTCCTACCTGTACAGTAGCGTCAGCATCAGATACACCTGCCTGTACAGTATTGTCAGCATCAGCTACACCTACCTGTACAGTATTGACAGCATCAGCTACACCTACCTGTACAGTAGCGTCAGCATCAGCTACACCTACCTGTACAGTATTGTCAGCATCAGCTACACCTACTTGTACAGTATCTTCTGCACCAGCCTTATCTACCTGTACAGTATTGTCAACATCGATGCCACATACCTCTCCTGTGTCAGCATCAGCTTCATCTACCTGTACAGTATTGTCAACATCAGCTACACCTACCTGTACAGTATTGTTAGCATACCTGTACAGTAGCGTCAGCATCAGCTACTCCTACCTGTACAGTATTGTCAACATCAGCTACACCTACTTGTACAGTATCGTCAGCACCAGCCTTATCTACCTGTACAGTATTGTCAACATCGAAGCCACATACCTCTCCTGTGTCAGCATCAGCTACACATACCTGTACAGTATTGTCAACATCAGCTACACCTACTTGTACAGTATCGTCAGCACCAGCCTTATCTACCTGTACAGTATTGTCAACATTGAAGCCACATACCTCTCCTGTGTCAGCATCAGCTACACATACCTGTACAGTATTGTCAACATCAGCTACACCTACTTGTACAGTATCGTCAGCACCAGCCTTATCTACCTGTACAGTATTGTCAACATCGAAGCCACATACCTCTCCTGTGTGGTCCATGTGTAGACGGAGCAGGGCCAGGCCGGTGCCTGCCTCCAGACAGGTGTACGGACGTCCCAGTATCTCTTCCATGATGCGCCGCTGTGCAAACATTGTGAAACCCTGCCCATGGAAAGGAAAAACATTTCCACCTATGATGAACAAGTCTATTTCCACAGTCAGAGCAATTGAGTTTTTACCCCAGGGTTTCTATTCTAATTGGGTTATTACATTTTTCATTGGGTAACCAATATTTTTTCACTCAGCTAGACTAGTCATCACTCGATTGGGTTTTTCCCAAAATTAGTGAACATTTTAAGATTAATAAATAATGAAATAATATTTTAGATTTATATAACTGTTCTAAATATATAGGCTTGACTCAGAAAGTAAATTAGCTCGTAATTGTGTTTCAGAAATTAGCTCCTTTGTAAGCATTAGGTATTTACAGGTGCTGTTTTTATACATTTGAATTTTTCATTTAATGCATGCATTTCTGTACACAAATTAATTGAAAGTGAATATTTGGGGGTAGTTTTTTAAACAAATACACAGCTTATCTGAAGCTCAGAACAGTCCTAGCATTTGCCATTGAAGCATATGTACCTTAGCCTACTGCCTCAGTAAGGTGCTAGGCACAGGTCAACAGGTTTTATGTGTACAAAATCAGAATGGTAACATATGAAGACAAAAGCCACACAACATTACACAGCCTACCTCGTTGAGCCAGAAGTCCCCCCATGTGGCATTAGTGACCAGGTTTCCAAACCAGCTGTGGGACTGCAATTATAATCAGGCGATGGTAGTCAGAGTTACCTCCCCTTAGTCCCTGATTTCAACTACCCCAATTTAACATAGCATAGGAAACACTTAAGGACAGCTGCTTGTCTGTATGTAAGAGTACTTAACTTTTCAAGGACAGGTACAGTAAAACATGGATATAACGAACTACAAGGGACCGGAGAAATTAGTTTGTTATATCCGTTCTTCGTTATATACGTTTTCGCTTGGAAACGTCCGCCATCTTGGATAAAACAAAACACAATACATGTAACTGCAGCATTGACTTGTATTAGCAGTGATCACTTCATAGCATTCAATTGATAACATTTTATAACATACATTTAAGTTTAACAAGGTTGATCCGTCACCGCTGATTGTGTTGATTCACCTCTGATTGCGTACAGCCAATTGTCAGTGACACTTGACACTGAGTGAGATTTCTCAGTTCGCTATACACATCACTAATTAGTGATAGATGGACTTGTCGGTGATCAGATATCAGTTCGCTGTATCTGTTAGTTCGCTGTAGAGTTCGTTATGTACGTAAATTTGATATGATATCATGTAAGAGATAAATCAGGGATTTTTTAACAGTTCGTTGTATCCGTTTGTTCGCTCTATCCGTGTTCATTATATCCAAATTCTACTGTATCTTAAAATCTGCACGTCTTATTGTAACTGGCCTATGAAAACAGAAGGGGTCATTGAGCATGCTAGTACACTCCAGTAAACTACATTTACCACGAATATGCTTATAATGAACTGACTGATAAGAAACTTATTTCTTGGTCCCAGCCATTTACTGTATAAATGCTGCATACATGCTTAAAACAAACTACAGTTATAACAAACTAAAATCAACAGTCTCTTTGAGCCTGTTGAGTTAGTTATAAGCATAGTTTACTGTATATGCACTTGTTCGTCCCACGATATTCCAGCAATATTATCGCGGGGGACACCAGAAATGGGCTTCACACATTGTACCCATGTCATGAATCGAACCCGGGTATCCAGCGTGACGAGTTAACGCTTTAACCACTAGGCTACCTGACCGCCCCTGTTTGCTTTTTAACTTGTCTGAGGGGCACATAGTCAAAAATATACAAATTCACATATTTCACTCAGTATCACAATATTTTACGATGCACAAGGCCGTATTGCGATACATATAACAATATATTGTATAATTAAAAAAATTGAATTTAGAAGCAATTTGAAACACGATTGCGTGAACTGAAGTTCATAAATGGAACAAAACAAGATGCTGGAACAACGTAATGTTCACTAAATAAAAAATACGCACAAATGTACGCTCCGGGTATTTGGCATGTTCTTAACATTAAACACATGACAAAAATTGCTATTTGAAAGAACCCGATATACCGAGTGTTAAAAATGATATTGTGACAAGTATCGTGGAAAGAGTGAACCTCAATATACCGATATACCGTAATGCCACTCACACTTAAACAGCCATATTAATCTTTGATGATTGTTCATTTAGTCTGCGATTCTTTGCATTGTTTAACATAGGTGACAGCGATTGGACCACCCATGTCCCCACACGCTGTGAGAAGTCTCCAATACAAGCAGTGATTACAGACATCCTTGTATAAAAAATTACCGGGTAACGATTATGTTAGAAACATTACACAAAATATTGGGAAGGCATCCAAAGCGTTCAACTTACAATTTCATGGATGACGACGTCTGTGAGGGACTTGTCCCCAACCAGCAGGCAGGGTGTGACGAAGGTGAGACAGGGGTTCTCCATCCCCCCATACGGGAATGACGGCGGCATGATGAGGATGTCGTATCTCCCCCACACGTATGGCCCAAACAACTTCTCACCCGTCGATATGAACTCCTCGACCACCCCATCAAACTCTGCCCGAGCCTTCTCCTGTAAAAATAGTTTCTTTACATTTAGGATGAACCAATGGATGAAGAAGGTGAGGATGATTTAGATTTTAACATTGCGTTCAAGATTATTAACTTAAATAGTGACGTACATATGTGTGTAACTGCTTGTATAAGTCGGCCTTACTGCTTGTATTAGTCGGCCATACTGCTTGTATTAGTCGGCCTTACTGCTTGTATTAGTCGGCCTAACTGCTTGTATTAGTCGGCCTTACTGCTTGTATTAGTCAGCCATACTGCTTGTATTAGTCGGCCTAACTGCTTGTATTAGACGGCCTAACTGCTTGTATTAGTCGGCCTTACTGCTTGTATTAGTCGGCCATACTGCTTGTATTAGTCGGCTTAACTGCTTGTATTAGTCAGCCTTTCTGCTTGTATTAGTCGGCCATACTGCTTGTATTAGTCGCCCTTACTGCTTGTATTAGTCGGCGATACTGCTTGTACTAGTCGGCCATACTGCTTGTATTAGTCGGCTTAACTGCTTGTATTAGTCAGCCTTTCTGCTTGTATTAGTCGACCATACTGCTTGTATTAGTTGGCCTTACTGCTTGTGTTAGTCGGCTGTCACTTATTGTATTAATCGGCCATACTGCTTCTATTAGTCGGCCATACTGCTTGTATTAGTCGGCCATACTGCTTGTATTAGTCGGCCTTACTGCTTGTATTAGTCGGCCATACTGCTTGTATTAGTCGGCCATACTACTTGTATTCGTCGGCCATACTGCTTGTATTAGTCGGCCTTACTGCTTGTATTAGTCGGCCTTACTGCTTGTATTAGTCGGCCTTACTGCTTGTATTAGTCGGCCTTACTGCTTGTATTGTATTAGTCGGCCTTACTACTTCTATTAGACAGCCGTACTGCTTGTATTAGTCGGCCTTACTGCTTGTATTAGTCGGCCTTACTGCTTGTGTTAGTCGGCTTCACTTATTGTATTAGTCAGCCATACTGCTTGTATTAGTCGGCCTTACTGCTTGTATTAGTCGGCTTCACTTATTGTATTAGTCGGCCTTACTGTGCATTAGTCGGCCTTACTGCTTGTATTAGTCAGGCTTACTGCTTGTATTGTATTAGTCGGCCTTACTGCTTCTATTAGACAGCTGTACTGCTTGTATTAGTCGGCCTTACTGCTTGTATTAGTCGGCCTTACTGCTTGTGTTAGTCGGCTTCACTTATTGTATTAGTCAGCCATACTGCTTGTATTAGTCGGCCTTACTGCTTGTATTAGTAGGCTTCACTTATTGTATTAGTCGGCCTTACTGCTTGCATTAGTCGGCCTTACTGCTTGTATTAGTCGGCCATACTGCTTGTATTAGTCTGCCATACTGCTTGTATAAGTCGGCCTTACTGCTTGTATAAGTCGGCCTTACTGCTTGCATTAGTTGGCCTTACTGCTTGCATTAGTCGGCCATACTGCTTGTATTAGTCGGCCTTACTGCTTGTATAAGTCAGCCTTACTGCTTGCATTAGTTGGCCTTACTGCTTGTATTAGTCGGCCTTACTGCTTGTATTAGTCAGCCTTACTTCTTGCATTAGTCGGCCTTACTGCTTGCATTGGTCGGCCTTACTGCTTGTATCAGTCGGCCTTACTGCTTGTATTAGTCGGCCTTACTGCTTGTATTAGTCAGGCTTACTGCTTGCATTGGTCGGCCTTACTGCTTGTATTAGTCGGCCTTACTGCTTGTATTAGTCGGCATTACTGCTTGTATTAGTCGGCCTTACTGCTTGTAATAGGGCGGCTGTACTGCTTGTATAAGTCTACCTTATTGCTTATATTAGTCGGCCATACTGCTCGTATTAGTCGGCCTTATGCCGATTTTATAGTGTTAGCCCACTGAGATATCATGCCACAGTTTAACATGGATACCATCAATCTGACACATTATACAGACTTTGAGACGTCCAATTTTTGGTTTATCCCGATTATGCCAAACAGACAGGGAAACAACAAGTATCACATTTTAAGCTCTCTTTGTATGACTGCCTTGGAATCAAACCATCAACCTTTCACTCTCCTGGCAGAAACCCTATCCAATAGACCTGGAAACGGATCAGGGAATCGAACCACCGACCTTCCGTTCGAGCAGACACCCTATCCACTAGATCGGGAGGTGGCCAGAGAATCTAGACACCCATCTTCAACATACAGGTAAAAGTTGCAAGTGTTGCTTGAGTTCTCACAATCACTTGAACATTAATTGGCAATATAAGAGACCAGTCAGATTGTTTGATTGTTTGGTTGTTTATTTGTTGATAAACACCCCACTTAGCAATATTCCAGCTATATGACGGCAGTCTGTTAATAATCGAGTCTGGACTAGACAATCTAGTGATTGACATCATGAGCATGACATTCATCAACCAAGTCAGCCAGCCTGACCATCCGATCCCGTAAGTCGTCTCTTACGACAAGCATGGGTTGCTGAAGACCTATTCTACCCCAGATCTTCACGGGTCCAGAACGTTTGATGTCTGATCAAATGCCTTAAGTATTGAGACATTTCCATGAGATCCTCATCATTTGCTAACACAGCATCTCCCCATGCTGAGATCCCTCTCACCAGGACACTTGGCTCGGCGTACACCTTGCTCCGAGGTCCGATCTCTGCAGCCTTGAGGTCTCCGACTGCTAAGGCGACCAGGTAGACCTGTATGGGCACGTGTTGGCTGAAGTAATACGTCTCCTTGTCCCCGGACAGGTTGGCTACTTCCCCATAGCTGCTTTTGCTGGCACTCATGACTGGGACGAAGCCTTCTGCCACCTGCAACATCATGTATGCAGCTCCCCATGAGAACACAACAGTTCACAGCCCATCAGAAACAAACCAAATGTACACATTATTATGGGTAACATTCCTGCTATTCTGTATTTCAAAATAGTCAACAATAATACAGCTACAAATTATTTCTTATTGACTTGACGGTGTGCGTGTCCTGGCCGTGTACATTGACTTATTGGCGACATGTCCAGACAGAGGAAGAAGGATCTGTTACAGAACTCACCTTGACATTAGCCGTGTATGTTGACTTGATGATGGGTGTGCCCTGACATAGGAAGAAGGATCTGTTACAGAACTCACCTTGACATTAGCCGTGTATGTTGACTTGATGATGGGTGTGTCCTTGCAGGGGAAGAAGGATCTGTTACAGAACTCACCTTGACATCAGCCGTGTATGTTGACTTGATGATGGGTGTGTCCTGGCAGGGGAAGAAGGATCTGTTACAGAACTCACCTTGACATTAGCCGTGTATGTTGACTTGATGATGGGTGTGTCCTGGCAGGGGAAGAAGGATCTGTTACAGAACTCACCTTGACATTAGCCATGTATGTTGACTTGATGATGGGCGTGTCCTGGCAGGGGAAGAAGGATCTGTTACAGAACTCACCTTGACATTAGCCATGTATGTTGACTTGATGATGGGCGTGTCCTGGCAGGGGAAGCAGGATCTGTTACAGAACTCACCTTGACATTAGCCGTGTATGTTGACTTGATGATGGGCGTGTCCTGGCAGGGGAAGAAGGATCTGTTACAGAACTCACCTTGACATTAGCCGTGTATGTTGACTTGATGATGGGCGTGTCCTGGCAGGGGAAGAAGGATCTGTTACAGAACTCACCTTGACATTAGCCGTGTATGTTGACTTGATGATGGGCGTGTCCTGGCAGGGGAAGCAGGATCTGTTACAGAACTCACCTTGACATTAGCCGTGTATGTTGACTTGATGATGGGCGTGTCCTGGCAGGGGAAGAAGGATCTGTTACAGAACTCACCTTGACATTAGCCGTGTATGTTGACTTGATGATGGGCGTGTCCTGGCAGGGGAAGAAGGATCTGTTACAGAACTCACCTTGACATTAGCCGTGTATGTTGACTTGATGATGGGTGTGTCCTGGCAGGGGAAGAAGGATCTGTTACAGAACTCACCTTGACATTAGCCGTGTATGTTGACTTGATGATGGGTGTGTCCTGGCAGGGGAAGAAGGATCTGTTACAGAACTCACCTTGACATCAGCCGTGTATGTTGACTTGATGATGGGTGTGTCCTGGCAGGGGAAGAAGGATCTGTTACAGAACTCACCTTGACATTAGCCGTGTATGTTGACTTGATGATGGGTGTGTCCTGGCAGGGGAAGAAGGATCTGTTACAGAACTCACCTTGACATTAGCCATGTATGTTGACTTGATGATGGGCGTGTCCTGGCAGGGGAAGAAGGATCTGTTACGGAACTCACCTTGACATTAGCCATGTATGTTGACTTGATGATGGGCGTGTCCTGGCAGGGGAAGCAGGATCTGTTACAGAACTCACCTTGACATTAGCCGTGTATGTTGACTTGATGATGGGCGTGTCCTGGCAGGGGAAGAAGGATCTGTTACAGAACTCACCTTGACATTAGCCGTGTATGTTGACTTGATGATGGGCGTGTCCTGGCAGGGGAAGAAGGATCTGTTACAGAACTCACCTTGACATTAGCCGTGTATGTTGACTTGATGATGGGCGTGTCCTGGCAGGGGAAGCAGGATCTGTTACAGAACTCACCTTGACATTAGCCGTGTATGTTGACTTGATGATGGGCGTGTCCTGGCAGGGGAAGAAGGATCTGTTACAGAACTCACCTTGACATTAGCCGTGTATGTTGACTTGATGATGGGCGTGTCCTGGCAGGGGAAGAAGGATCTGTTACAGAACTCACCTTGACATTAGCCGTGTATGTTGACTTGATGATGGGTGTGTCCTGGCAGGGGAAGAAGGATCTGTTACAGAACTCACCTTGACATTAGCCGTGTATGTTGACTTGATGATGGGCGTGTCCTGGCAGGGGAAGAAGGATCTGTTACAAGCTGCCTGTCCCTGGGTGTACATGAAGGGCATCTTTTTACCTGCCAACACAGTTATGAATGATAATACTACAAAACACTTCGTAATTTTGTTATATCAACAAACCACATTGTTCTAAGACCTGCAGTTTGCTGTGTTTCCAGCCAGCAGACCTGGTACTGATGAAAGAGAGACACAGAGAAGGGTACTTATCACATCAACTACAGTACATATACATGAGAGAGCACCTGCAGTTTGCTGTGGTTCCAGCCAGCAGACCTGGTACTGGTGAAAGAGAGACAGAGAGAAGGGTGCTTATAACATCAACAATAGTAGATATACATGAGAGAGCACCTGCAGTTTGCTGTGGTTCCAGCCAGCAGACCTGGTACTGGTTAAAGAGAGACAGAGAGAAGGGTACTTATCATATCAACAACAGTAGATATACATGAGAGAGAGCACCTGCAGTTTGCTGTGGTTCCAGCCAGCAGACCTGGTACTGGTGAAAGAGAGACAGAGAGAAGGGTGCTTATAACATCAACAACAGTAGATATACATGAGAGAGCACCTGCAGTTTGCTGTGGTTCCAGCCAGCAGACCTGGTACTGGTGAAAGAGAGACAGAGAGAAGGGTGCTTATCATATCAACAACAGTAGATATACATGAGAGAGCACCTGCAGTTTGCTGTGGTTCCAGCCAGCAGACCCGGTACTGGTGAAAGAGAGACAGAGAGAAGGGTGCTTATCACATCCACTACAGTATATACACATGAGAGAGCACCTGCAGTTTGCTGTGGTTCCAGCCAGCAGACCCCTGAGCCCCCAGTACTGGTGAATGAGAGGCGGATCTTGAATTCCTGGCCGGCATTCTTTTCTGCTGGCAGCTGGGGGCCAAAAAGACAATTATAGTTTCGTAAATATTTGGTGATAGATAAATAGAAAGTAGAAAAAAGTGGTTTTCATTCTCCATGGTCTCAAAATAATAATTCAAATTATAAGTTGCTTATTGTGGCATAGTAAGTAAACATGGATATCTTACATATGTTTTTAAACTTAATACAAAAGACATTCATCTTCATATCCTTTGCCATAAAATCACTTGACCAGAACCTGTTCCTGTGATGAATATATTGAACTGATTGTGAATGAACATGCAGAAGATAAGGGATGTCTCCAAAATAATTCATGCGTCATCATAAAAGAAACTTTAGGAACTTTGTAAATAGTTGATGAAAACTGACTGAAAAATGTATGACCAGATAGACTTCTTCCTTATAGCTAAAGGCATTTAGGAATCAAACATATACTTGCTGTTAAAGGTTTAAGTGAGACATTAATAGTGTACCCATTCTTTGGGGTTTTAGAAACTTTTACCTGACAATTTTATTATCATATGTTATAAAATACATCATGGGAGGAACAAAGAATTTACTTAAAAGACTTTTCCAGCCAAATGTTGTAAAATGGAAAGTCGGATGAGCTATAGACAGTCCAATAGATATCTATTCTCTTCAACTTCAAAGAAATGTTCAGATTCTTGATGAAATTGTAAGCCAAAAATGGTTAGCAAAAATCTTAATGTAAGCAAGGAAACCGCCCAGATAAGGGTATTTGGATTGTGTGTTGCCATGACATTTTATAGCCTGTATACGAAAACAATGCTTCAATCTTGAGCTAGCAACAGTCGCTAGGGAGGTGGATAGAGGGTAGTGGATCGGATGTTAAAAGCCTCCTATGGCTCTGAATAGTTCTCACATCAATCAGCAGGGCTGTGCCGTAGTCTGTGAAGTCTTTTGTCCGGATGATGAGAGACTGCTCCACTCCCTCTAAGTGAGCACTGTGAACTGTCAGTGTTTCGTGGGTGTCAAGCCGAACTGAAATAAATCACAGAACTAAAGTAGATCCAAAATTGTCAATGTAACTTGATTGATTTAGGGTGTCAGTGTTATATCAGGGGTAGAAACTAACATTTTTAGTCCACTAGTCCTTATAATGATAACAAATAGAAAAGCCTTATAAAGGGCAAATTTCTACTAGTCCTTATGATACCTTAACCATTGGGCAGTTTGGCAAGGACTACAGGACTAGTGCCAATTTCTAACGCTGTATATGTATTGACACAACAATCAAAATATATTTTTACAGAGTTGACATACAGGTGATACCTCCCCACCTGTCTGGGAGGCTCCCGTCTTAGAGACCAAGGGGTAGGAGTTGGGGGCCGTTTGACCCGGATAGGCCTTTGTATAGTAACGGTAATCAACCCATATGGTGAACAATTTTACAATGTAAGTTGTAAAGAAAACTCAGACAGTCGTAACTGCTAGGTGCCTGAAGGCCAAGTACTTATCACTTCTTGTTCTCAGCATGTTTATTCATGCATACTTTAATACAAACTTAGATACATATAACCCGCCCAGTTATACATGACTTTATTGGTTATCATATTTATTAGAAACTATACTAAAATGTCACTATACGACAAAACCATGGAATAAATGGTCTCTGGTTACGCAATTTACGTCTAAACCCTCGGAAAGGAAGACAAAATAAGACGAGCAAGTGCTGTCTCCAGAAACAACACAAGACGTGATTGGTTGATTCAGTAGTCAAAATACAATGAGCTACACGGTCAGAATTCCTCCTAGGGTTTCAAAGCATGTTCAATGAGTATGAATAAGTACAACTCACCTTTGAGATACTCAGCCCTTATCAACTGACAGTGTGTGACTGCCTAACATTTACATTTAATGGTTGCTTTTTTAAATTTCTCCTTGATGGATGCAAATATGGTGATATATTGTTTAATGACAAAAATTATCCAGAACTCTATGTTTACACTAATTATTATTTATTTTTTTTAAATCTTTTTACATTTATTTGATAAAATGTGACATTCCAGTACATAGCTAAATAATCATCTATGATTACACTAATGTTCGCATTTCCTCCTGACTATGCAACCCTTCCATCTGACTTTTATATGTTGGAATGAAAATAAAACTTTAGCCAACTCATTAATATTATTATATCATACATGTATCTAAATACGTTTTACCAGGGATATGGTTAAAACATATCTCTTGCGACACACAGCTGGTAGATCTACCCGGTTAGGGTCATGTAATTTTGTGTGTGTGTGTGTCTGTGTGTCTGTGTGTGTGTGTGTGTGTGTGTGTGTCTATCTCACGTACCTTCAACAAGTCGCGTAGCCAGTGTCTTGAACGTGATCAGTGCGGTTCCATTGATTTGTTTCTTTGTGAAATCCACATTGAAGTCCAGGTGATAGTTGATGACGACAACCTGCCTGTAGTTTGACGCCGTCGCCACGTCGACAGCACTGTCTGAATGAAGCACCATGTTGACGCAGGAATAGGGATGTTGACAACTACCAATACTTCTACCACGGGGTGTCGTTCGTTGTGATTTTAACTTTCTTTTATGCCTTCCCTCCGATCTGTCACATGGTGTAAACTTCCGGTGAGGGGCGGGTAATGCAAAAATTATCCTTAACGAAACGAAACACTGATTACAGACCGCGGCTGTATTTGGGAGGTCGTCGCGGTCACTTATCAAAGTAGGAATCGGCTCAGGAGAAACGATTATTGCATGTGGAGACAAACTAGAAAAATAGTATCTTAAATTTTAGTGACTAATTTGAACAGATGCTACGGCAAGTTATGCACAAGGCACCTTTTAAAACTATCTAAATGCCGTTCTTTAAACGGAAACACAAAATTGGCCCCATTCCGTCCGTCGCTGACACATTCCTGTAGAATTATATTACAAGAACTTTCCGTCGAAATGAAAAAAAAGGAAGCTGAAATCCCAAATTCACCGTTTCTTCATTTACACTACTTTTCTTAATTCATAATTGCACTAAATTTCAATATATATTATACATCTCATCCATATTTGACTAATAGGCTGATGATATGCAATCTATTAAACATGTTTAAAGGAAATTAAATTAAAAACATGTTTAAAGGTGTTTAAATTCTAATCATGTTTTATTGTGGGTATGTAACGTTAAGGTAATGTTTACGCTGAGGCGAGAGCTCATTCATGTGTTTAGACCCCGACCGTGTTCAGACACCAAATGTTCATACCGTTTAGGATTGAAACACATTCCTAAGCATGTCTTGTATGTGTTTACATTCTCAACACATTGTTTACATTGTGGTTTTATTCAGTGAATTATACTAATTTAATAAGTGATATTTAGCAATCTATAGCATCTTCGTGCAATCTACCAGGCAGGATAGTAAATTCGTTGTTTACTAACCTCCAGGGGCCGCTGTACTGATTACGTTAGTAGAATTCACAAGAGTTTTGGCCGGTTCGTGCTCAAGTCATAACTCAACGAAGTCAACGCAGGTTATATATGGAACAGCTATATTTATAATTTACATTCGTCTTATGTTTATTTGTGGTGTTTAGGAATATATTCGTTGAACATTTATATATATTTCATGTTCGCTGTAGTTTTTTAAAGAAAGAAATTGTTACTTCTTGGTAAGACCAGGTCACTACCTAACTCACTGTTACTTATGGGTGTATCGCTGGGGTATAATTGTTAATTATACAGGCACGTCCTAATTGACGCTAGGGGATCGTCATACATAAGTATTAAGTCTTTCTGTAAGTAAAAGTCACTTCCATACTGGCGACAGGGGATCGCATATTAGACATAGCATCGCACATAAGACACTATTATTATCTCTCTCAATTATATCATTTTATACAATGATAGTGAATGCATTAAATATTACAGAATTGTGTACTGCATTCTGATTGGACAATATAAACAATGAATATCATACAATTTCGTTTGAATGGACATGAATAAATTGACTTTACCTGATTGACATTTATGCTTATCTATCTATAATGAAGCTAGGGCGGTCGGGTAGCCTAGTGGTTGAAGCGTTCGCTCGTCACGCCGAAGACCCGGGTTCGATTCCCGACATGGGTACAATGTGTGAAGCCCATTACTGGTGTCCCCCGCCGTGATATTGCTGGAATATTGCTAAAAGCGACGTAAAACCTCACTCACTCACTCACTATAATGAAGCTGAGACTAACCATGCATGACAGGTGGCAAGTCGCTTGGTGCGTCAATCAGCAATCCGTTATTACAAATGACGGACACCGTCACAAAGGACGGACAGGTCAAGCTGTAACTCTTATCTAATAATATTTATCTAATAATTATTTTATTGTGTGACGTCGGTGCGCCAACTGTGCTACACGATAACGTTTTACTTTAATGATTAAACTTCTAACTCAATATTTCTTTCCGCTTATAAGGTATGGAAATCTGTATGCACTTTGTTAATATATATATACATACGACGTAGCTGTATGACAGAATGTTTAAAACCACAATTGGTTACAGAATGCAGGTCCGGTTAAGAAATTAGAGTCATGTAATAAATGAAACGGACACGTTACGCCCCTATTTTGATCAAGAAACTTCGGGTAGGGGCCGTCTACGTTCCCTTCCCAGGAAGGGTTGGAGTTGAAGGTGAAGCTGTGTTGGTATGGCTTGAATGTTTTCTTAAAATAACCTGTCCCCGTAAATTTGAAAAATTGATAATTTGTCCTCATGTTACAAAACTGGACACACCAATTTTTTTTTCTGAAATATAGTGTTCGATTTGGTCTTCTTTTCAGAAAAAAATATATGCATTGACCCGCTAGCTGAAAATATATTGTCTCAAACAAAAATCCCAGCTCCCCAGAATATAAAATGATCGGTCTCATACCATGTACCTTTCATTATTTAAAAAAACATCATCTAAAGAATAAAATGGAAACTGCTTAAGGTGAGGTGAAATGAGGTTTAAGATTGTTGGTGCACAGCCCACTGAGATACCATGACATGTATAGCCCACTCAGAGACAGTATCCTGACTCCGAGCCGACCAGTCCTTGTTTTAGCCCCTTAATGCCGAGCGTCAGGCTAGGTAACATAAGTACCATCTCATTAACGTCTTTTAGTATCACTCGGCCGGGGATCGAACCCCCGACCTTCCGTTCACCGGACAGACGCTCTACCACGGAGACGGTCGGAACTGCTTGACAATCAGTATGGTCAATAATATAAACGTTGCAACATGATTACAACACAAGTATATAAGTCTAAATGTTTTTAAGTCTAAAGGTCCCGTGTGTTAAACATATTTTAAACGTTTGTCAATCCACGGGATGTACTACAAAACGCACCCCTCTTACAGGAATGTTCTAAAGAAAGTTCCCCAGTTACAGGAATATTCTACACGCAGTTCCCCTGTTGCAGGGTTATTCTGTAAAAGGTTCCTCTGTCCGAGAGATATTCCACAGAATAATGTAAAGTTGTGACACTTCACACATCAAGTTCCGTATTCGACGTAATAAGCGCCCCGCTCTAATAAGCGCCCACGGCGATATTTACTAATATACTGGCTAGTGAACAATATCAGTTAGCACCCCTTCCGATTGATCAATGTACACAACACTTATTTATTCGCGTATAATACGTACTCGTGTGTTATAAGCACCCTTAATTATGGGCAACTAAATTCTGGAAAAATGTATCTCTCGTATATGAACATTTCAGGCACGAAATTTATCTTTCAACTCTGTTTTTTTTTCACCAAAATAATATTCTAATAAGAGCGCCCTATTTCTAATTTTGAGAGCGCCCTGGGCGCTTATTACGTCGAATACGGTATATCAATATTGCATGTATGGTTGTCCCAGTGCGCAGCATATACGACCGTTACCAATACAGTTATACCATGACACCACGTCACTGTTCCTGTTCCTTTTTACCCCGTGGCGTCCCTTGGGCACGCCAGAAACCTATGATTGTTGGTTCGAATCCCGGTTCGCCCCGATTATGTTTCTAGGTTTGTCAGCACCATACCCGTGCTCGTGGGTTTCACCGAAGTGGTATACGTCCTAGACCTGCATCACTTCGGGCTTTCCTCCCACATTAAGCTGACACGGCGCAATATAACTGGAATACAGTTAAAAGCGGCGTTGAACCCCACTCACTCGCTCACTCATTAGTACCCCTTGGTGATGCCGGGGCAAAACAGCTGCCCCACGTTTGTCATCTGAACCCACAACAATGAGGTGATGTGTGAAATGTCTGATTGTCACCGCACTCCGGCGACGTGGGACGTTGATCAAGATATGAACAACTTGCTGGCTGGATTCATACATTCGCATTTACAAAAAAAACAAAAACTGTTGCCATGGTTGGCGTAAAATGACATTCATTCACTCTAATTTCAGCTCTTTTCCTAACCGTCCCATGCTGTGGTGGGGGTATTCATAAGAAACTGTAAGTCAAATATACTTTCCAAATTGGTGACAACCTCTAGTTCCAGGGTGAGGTGGTGAGGTGAAACGGGGTATGCAGCGCTTTCAAGAGTATTTCACTTATACAGCGACTTGCCTTAACGTGTGTGAGTGGCTGATTGTACCAGTACGGACTTCTGCCGGTTTTATAGCGCTATCCCAGCAAGCCATAGCTTAACACTGATACCTCACCGAGCCGACCAGTGCTTGTTTTAGTCGCTTAATGCCGAGCCCCAGGAAGGGTAACAACAAGTACAATCGCTTAACGTTTTTTGGTATGTTGCGGCCAGGGTATCGAACCACCGACTTTCAGTCTGTAGGCCGACGCTCTACCTACTGCACAACGGTCGCGGTCTTTAAGGTATGTTTACACACATTGTGTATACACATGCGAGAAGGCGGTAATATATTTGCACAAGCAGTCAACACCAGCATTCAAGAAGCAGTTTATTTAGGAAGGAGACCATACATATAACAACAATATAAAGTTCAAAGCTTTTTTTTTCGATTTGGAGTTATTGTCACAAAAGTTTTTATATAACAGTTCACTAAAATGACTGCGTTGAAACAGTACGTATATGCCGGAAATTTAATGAGAATAGTCACAAGCTATGACAAACGTCCTTGTTTAGACAAATATTTTCAAATTTATATCCATCGATGGGAGCACATACATTATATCATTCAACTGCTTAATATTTAATTCTTTGCAAACGGCAGTAGTGTAAATTAGTTTACAGAGGTTATTGGTTACTATGATAAACTAGGCAGGACTATGTGGTATCGTCCACACCTTGAACCCTGCAGTTGTGAGGTGAATGATAAGAAGTCACACCCAGTCATCAACATCCTCTGCCATTAGTTTAGCCTTCAGCTCTTTAGCTTCTTTGACGGCCTTGTTCTTCTCCTTCTCCATTTCTGGGTTTGTCGGCTCAGGTGGAGGAAGAACTGCTTTCATCTCTGTTTCAATTCTCTCTATTCTGCTCTTCACCTTTGTGTCAAATTCTTTCTGCTTCTGTCGAACTAGAACAGCAATTGAGGCAGTGGCGGCTTTCGCTTGTGTTGCCAGGTCTGCTTGTTTTTGAGATATTACCTCCCTGTCCTTTACTGGATCCAGTCCAATCAACTCGCCCAGACTTGCAACTTGATCCATCAGGTGCTTCTGGGAGACTTCAACATACATCTCAGCGAGGTTGTTAACCATGTAGGCCAAGGTGTTGGCATCGGTGGCTTGTACATAGATCATATCTCTGAGCATGTCCGACATGGTGTACTTCAGGCGAAGCTTTTTCCCCTTCTCAGAGCTTTGCAGAAAATTCTTCACATTTTCATTCATGCTGCACTTAATAATGTTGGATATTGTTTGGAAAAATCGCACCAATTTTCCCCACTGGGTTCTGACTTCACCAATAGCCTTGATACCTCTCTGCAATAAGGCTTTGATCTGGTCAAAGTTGACCTTGTCCAGTTGGATCCGCCCAAGCTCGGTGATAACTGCTGCGATGTCTCCACTGACTTTCTCTAGCTTCTGGCTTTTTTCCTTGAAGTCATTCCTAACAGTCTCAAGGGTAGATGAAGCTTGTTCAACCATAAATCTGGCTTGTGCACTTTGTCTTGAAGAGGCTGATCCAGATTGTCCTTGCTCATAAGACGACATCTTTGGGGTTGGCATCAGTACTGGCTTTGCCCCAAATGCTATTCCAGAAAACATTGTCAAAGCTTGCATCTTTCCATCCAACCTATCTGCCATTACCCTCGCTCTCTCTCGTTGTTTTCCCCCTCCTAACAGTTGCTTGTTTGCTAGCTTCAAAATCTGGAGCAGTTGAGACGCATCCTCTTTGATTCCATCGAGTCTCTTCCTACCCACTCCTGTGTAGGATGCAAGAGAACTGATGACATCATCAAAAATCGACTCGACCAAAGTCAGATTCTTAAGTTCTTTCCCCTCAGAAAGAAAGTTAAAGTTTTCCAGGATGCTCTGTATGCAGAGATCAATTCTTGGAAGCTCCAACGCGAGTGCATCCTCAGACGTTCCTGTTTTTGATATTGTCTTATTACCCATGTCCAAACCACCAGAAGCATTTATTGCATGCACACTTGCGGCAACTTCACTTGTCTTATCACCCTTGACACCATTACTAAATATTTTCAATGTGAAAACATCTATGACCCCCTGTACTGCTGAGAGAAAAGATTTGCCTAGTCCATCCACGAAATCCATTCCGACCATTTCCCATCCAGAGGGCATGGAGTCCATGGCATTTTCATATGACTCTTGAGCTTGTCCAAATAGATGTTTCATTTCTTTGTACTCCTCTTCAGCTTGCTGTTTTCTTTTTTCTAATTCAGCCTTGCGCAATGATTTTACTTTGATGTCTTTTTCAGCTTTGCTAATCTTCTCATCATGCTTCCCCGTTGTAAATGTGCAGGCTTCTTGAAGTTCGCCTATCAAATCCATGACGTCAGAAAACTGTGTTTCCACTTCCTCTGCCTTTACGAGGCAGGTATCAGTTATCCTCTTGATGTTAGCCAAAATATCCGGAACCACTTCTTGTATTTCCTCATCAGATCCTTTTATGATAAACTGCAAACATCATATGATCACAAGGTGAAATGTCTGTACTATATGAAGAATGTCAGTTATAGATATGCTTTATATATAGATAAAATAAGGGATTGAATGTGTAGTGGTAAGAAACACTTTTGGTATTGTGGTCACATTCAATTATTTGAATGACCCAAACGCATCATATTCACGGATAAAACATGCAGAAAGGATGCTGGGATTATTTTTTCAGCCATTCATCGCCATTGATGAAAGAGAATGTTTGGAAACTTTCTGTGGATCATGGCGAGAGAGTACATGACAGTAGCGTATAATTGTAAGAAGTTGGTATGATTGTGACGTGAAACGCATTCCCGACTGTTTTCTAGTGATCACAAAAAATAATTTTTAGTGTGATTTCAAGTATACAGAATATGCATGTGTCACAGTCATGGAAGACGTCTCGACGTACCACAGGAGGCTATAACAATGTTTTCATTCACCTCATACAACTCCTTATTTGAGTGAAATGAGATAGATAGATCATACAAATGTTTCCAATACAAACTAACAATTATGAACTCAATAACGCGTCCATTCTCATTTTCCTGTTATATGTAACGTGTCACATGTTATAAACGCATCATGAAAGCTCGGTGCCTTTTGATCAGTTAGGAAATGAAAATGATCTACAAAGTAATTGTTTTTTAACCTATTCGTTAGTAAATGAAACTTTATGTATCTACCTTCACAGTGTTCCTGACATGGCGAGGTATCTGCAGCGTAAGAAGGCGGATCTGGTCCATGTTTTTGTTGGCCCTGTTGAAGGCTGTCCATCCCTGGTTGGCGACCTGAACAATGCTTGTCCTCAATGAATCAGGGTACTTCGTATATTTGAAAGCAGATCTGTCCATGTGTTCTGACACCAGCGAGACGTCCTTGTCCAGTGTGACGAGCACCAGTTGACCCAGGAGACACACCGACAGAGGGGCCGGGCTCAGCATCTCCTGCCAGTTCATGTGAGGCCCGAGGACCAACATCATGTCTTCCTGCAATTCCATTGAAAGTTATATAAGCAAAGAAACAACACCAGGTGACACCAGTAGTTCCAAGTATTACATTACCCATTACGTAACACTTTGAAAAATTGAACTTCTTTTGTCACAGAGGTGGCAGCAGGAAATTTGTCTAATCTTAATGTTTCAACTTTCTCTGAACGGCCATGCATACATAACGTTTCGACTGATATCGCATGACTATCCCATGGCGATTCCTTGGTTGAATACGTCTCAGCTGTCCATGCTTGACGTAGGGGAGGATGGGGACTACGAGTGGTCACCTGGCTGATGGTGCGTCATCATGCCCTTTGATACAGCTGCACTATTGCTAACTTTGATTCAATATTCAATGTAGTAACTGGCATTTACAGCTTAGAGAGAGTGAGTGAGTTTGATTTTACGCCGCATTTAGCAATATTCCAGCAATATCACGGCGGGGGACACCAGAAATGGGCTTCACACATTGTACCCATGTCGGGATTCGAACCCGGGTCTTCGGCGTGACGAGCGAACGCTTCAACCACTAGGCTACCCGACCGCCCCTTTACAGCTTAGAGAGTGGACTTGTGGACCACCTCATGCTCATATCGCAAGATGTGACAATAAAAATATTTACCTTGGCATCCGTTGGGCTCATCACTCTTTTCTCTGCCTTTGCAATGTCCTGTCTGCTAACATCCGCCATGGCGAGGAATATCTAGTAATAATAATAGTACGACCTGTCTCAGTTTTCTCAAAAGAGTATCTATTTAGGTTTAACTGTACTTCTTATTGAGCAGTGAAGTAAAACAGTATCACTCCATGTGCGTTGACTTTAAACCGGGCTAACTCTTTTCGACAATATGATATGTTTTCACTCCCTAATCCTTGAACCATCTACAGTAATCTACGGTTATAACGAATTCAAAGGGACTACTATTTTCAGTTCGCTATAACTGTAGTTCGTTATAAGCAAATATACAGCATAACTACAGCAAATAGTAGGGACTAAAAAGTAAGTTTGTTATATCCGTCAGTTCGTTATAAGCGTGTTCGTTATAACCGTAGTTTACTGTATTTTGAATATCAACGTTTCGCTGAATAATGATTATAATGGTAGTTCAAAGTGTTTAGTCTAGTATTCAGTATTCCACAGGTAGAACGTATATAAATATACAGTTATGTTCTTGCCACCATAATATAACATCAGCAAGAATTGCTCTGGTGTTGTTACGATCCATGAAACAAATCATTGTCTCCAGTATCCCATGATCACCATTGGTTGCACAATTCAACTTTTGAAATAGCTAAATTGAAATACAGTAAATGAAGCACAAAATAACATTTTAATGTTACGTTTTACAAATAAATTAGTTTACAAAAGACACAGCATGCACACGGCAGGTTATCAGTTTGGAACCATACACCAAATAAACCCCACAAATCTTGTGATTTAAAGGGAGCTTACAACAACAGAAGGCAGCGCTAAGGGAAGTCGTTACAAAATAAACACCCAAGAGGAAGTGTTTTATCTCATTTAGAAACCGAAATAAAAACCTGAAAAAATATTTAGCAACAATTTTATTTTTCAAACACTCTTTCCATGAACCTTAGGAAACCTTAGAATATATAATATCTTGCTAGCGTGCATTACATTAATAAAGATAATCTGAAATGCTTTGTGGTTTTTTAACCTATCTGTAGCCTAATGATTCACGAAGGTTGCAAGTTCCATTCACTGACATGAAATGTGTGTGAAATCGGTGGAATTTTGTTGGTAAATACATAATACATGTCTGTTTTCAAAGGTAATTATATCATTCAATGCTTTGACGAAATACTATTTGAAGGTAAGTGCACAGGCATGACAGATTTTGAAGTGCTGACGCATTTAATGGAGACATTGTTCTGCTGAATGTTGAAATATTTGCAATTCGTAATATTTAGTTGGAGTAATCTTTTTGGCTTAAAGGCTTTGTACCTAAACAGATGAAATTCGCTTCCGATAGTTCTTGAATTATATAGCGGGCAAAAGTTCTAAATTGTAGGCAAGGTAAATTTATACTTTTGGACAGATGTAACAAATTCAAAGTTGGTGTCGTTTGCAAGGTATTGATACTGCAAAGTTAAATATAGTACTTTGGATTATTTCATTAGTCCACTTTTGTATGTTAATTTATGTCAAAATGTTACCATTCGTTTATACATCTTATTGGATTCTTTTCCGAGGACTCTATATACCATAGAATGAGCTGTTGCGTTTCACTGGCTAACTCAATGCATTTGATATGTATGTTTCCTATGATAATTTAATTTTCAAACAAACATATTTCGGAATTTTACGTTAAAATAGGAGCAACCATAACATGAAAAAACAGGGAGTAGGCAGTCAAGACAAGATGTTTTATTGTACTTAAGTATTTGACAAGTGGCAAATTTGTGTTACGTGGTCGTTTTAATAAACAATACAAGCTTGACTTATTACCAGTTACTATTCTTTTATTTCGATGTAGATTAATTCCTAGCTATACACAGTTATCAACTATCTGCAATAACCATTTCCAAAGAAAAAGGATAGTTTTGTTTTAACTGCTGGGCCTCCTCGAAATGTTACAATTTTGTTTTTTACCTGTTGGAACTTGGACATGGAGAAAATTATCACTCTCAATATCATCAAATCCCGGGGATGTATTTCTCACTTTTTCGCGGCTACAATGATTTCCTCGTAAGTGATGTCACAATTTAATATTTCAGAGTTAAACACGGGATCGTGTACAGCATTCGTGTCAGAATCTTTGGTTTCCAAATTGATTCGTATAAATCTTTAAAAGTTGAAACAAGCTATTAATGTCTGGTGATTTTGTTTATGCATATGCTTATTTTCATTTTTTAAGGGACTCGGGAACCCAGAAACCTATGATTATGGGTTCGAATCCCGGTTCGCCCCGATTATGTTCTAGGTTGGTCAGCACCATACCCGTGCTCGTGGGTTTCACCAAAGTGGTAAACGTCTGAGACCTGCATCACTTCGGACTTTCCTCCCACATTAAGCTGACACGCCGTGATATAACTGGAATAGTGAATTAGGAGATACACCTACGGTGTTTTGAACTTTAATGAAGTAGCGCGAGGTTTCAAATGTAAAATCAGGAGGTATCTAATCTACAGTAGGACTCCATCAAAATTTAAAATATGACGACAGGGCCGGGGCGCTTTGTTCAAAATGACAGTTTAAAACACATAGTTTTCAGAAATGTGTCAAATAAACCTCCAAAGATGAATGTTTTAATTTCATCGCAAATCGTTGCATATTTGCAGTTTGGATTCAACCAATTCATTTCGACATGTCAGGTCACTTCTTGGAATTTAGCGCGACAAGTCGTTTCATCAACATGACATTGCACACTGTAAGTGTGACAGATTGTGGAAAAAGAGAAAAGAATTGCTGTACGAATTTATTTCTCTTAACAAACTTAATGAAACAACAGGATTTTAGCTAGTTTGTTACTTAGTTTAAGCAGCAGTTTGAAACAAGCCCCCAACTTTAATGCATATTACGAATGACTATCTCTCCAACTGCGACCTGGCAGAACTTTTAGATGCAGACGAAGGGTGATTATGTAGCCCTTACACAGCGGTTAGTGTGTCTTTTACTTAATTGTGTGAGCTCTGAAATAGATTCCGCCCTGTTTGATAAGCTGTTGTTTTGTTATCGAACGTATACACCATTCTAACGGGTTATCGGAAGCAAATATTATATGCATCGATGCGTAGGCTGTCGATAGATCGATATTTCCAAACACATGGTTTTTGTGCGAAAAGGTTTAATTTAAATAAAAGCGACAAAACCCTTTCCAAATTCATGAGAAATCGCTTCAAAGAGCAGAGTCGATTGTACAATTACGACCTTATCATGAGCATGCGTCCATCAATAACTATTAAGTAGTTATGATACTAGGTATCCTGTCCCCCCGCTGACACCCATCACAAACACATGCAAAAGCAAGTCAAGTGTTCACCTGAAACAATACGGGAACATATGGGACAAGTGATAAAAGGGAATTGCATCGGACATCATTTTTGTCACTGATGCGTCAAATTTGGAAGTATCCTCCGCATGTCTCCCATGAATCGTTTTGAAAGCTTTACTGAGGCCTTGAATGTTGTTACTTTAATCAAACAATTTTTCAGCAGGAGTCATATGACGCTCTTTGAAATCTTGGGCGAAAAAGCATGCTCGATTGTGTCTCAAAAGTTGTGAAATGTTGACACCAAGGGCTGGGGAGCTGCGGGAATGTTGATCGACATAAAGGAAAAGTTAGCTTTAAAGTTGAAGCCATGCCTCTTGCCATACAGTCTCGTGGAGTGTTTTTTGTCACTCTGAATCTTTGTACATGGATATGAATATGAAACAGACGAGGAGGTCTCACTGGTCACTTAATTTGAGGTTCAGATATGTGAATCAGTGGAAGGGAATTGGCTATTTGGTGGTCATTAAACGATATCAGATCATAGATCTAAAGCTTAAGTTAAACTTCTTGGCCAAATTACTTTGTTTTGACTTTGCCAGTTAGCTCAAAACAGGTATCAGTAGAAAAATGGATACCCCTTTTAACCAGTCAGAGTCAAGCATTCTTCAATGTCACGGTAAAATGTATAATATTCTCACGTAATGTCTTATGTAATTGATTATTAAGCTATTCCATACATTTCTTAGATGTCTTGGATTCTGTACACATTACTGCATTTGAGGATATCATTTTGAAGAAGCAATTCTCTTTTTCAATAGCTGTCAAAAATACGATACTATCAGAAACACTATGTATTTTTCCACACATGGGTATGATTTAAAAACTATATTACATGACAATGGTTCAATCAGCAGTTCTATAAACATGGATATTCTTCAATCAGTTGACGATTTCATTGTTAAAAGCAACAGATTTGAGTGACGTTAAATTTATGCAATGGAAAACTGCATTATTTTATTTCAGGCACCACTGACTTCAATGTTTGGGATTCATGTAGCACTATCGTGTGTACAACCAGCTGTTGTTAAGTTATTACCTGGAGATTTTTTTACATAAGCAAGGTTTGCTTTTTTACCGATCCAGATTTCTTTTGAAATAAAAATATGTTTAAACCAAATCAAAATTTATGTTCAATGCGCTTTCTGAGGCCACATACATTTATGTTTAGAAATTTCAAAGGGGTTAGTGGTATTTTGGTCAGGGTACTATCAACAGCAATTGCATCATTACCTTCACCCCCATCGTCATCGTCATCATCATCAACAACATCCTCATCGTCCCCATCCCCATCATCACCAGTCGTCTGAGACGTCACAATTCGCTGTGCAGAATTGTGTCTCTTGGGCGCGCCTGAAACAACAAAAACAACAATTCCATTAACATCCTCTTCAACAACGACTTTTCTGGCAAAACAAACAGTATTGTCAACACGTCTTGGCATTGCGTTGTTTTATGCTTTGTTAAAACTTCTAACTGAACCTGTGTCCAAGTCTTTGTTTCTGTCAGGTTGATAAAAGGGATTCAATTACAATTTAAGACGAATCATTTCAAATGAAATAATGACACCATGTTTTCGGAAAAAGGCTGACTGTCGGGGAGGACGAGTCAAAATGGTAACGCTGCCCATGGTTTTACCGGACGTTTGAATGATTAAACTGAAACAAAAGAATTTGATTTATCTAAGATTTCTCATGTCAGAGAGCGGTTGGGTAGCCTCGTGGTTAAAGCGTCAGCTCGTCACGCCGAAGACCCGGGTTCGAGTCCCCGAATGGGTACAATGTGTGCAGCCCATTTCTGGTGTCCCCGCCGTGATATTGCTGGAATAGTGCTAAAACGGCGTCAAACATAATTACTCTCCCACTCCATGACATATTTCTTTGCTGCCGATAGGCCAGGACACGCTGACTATGTTCGAGAATATCTAGTGTCATCACGTATTTTCAGTCATCCATTCATATAAATTTCGTTGCAATTTTGCCTTTTACGCTCATTGGAAATCTGTTTTGTCGGATAATCCTGACTTGTAATTCGCTGTCGATGTATATATTACCTTAATTATCAAATTACATTATTACAGCTAGTCTTCGGTTTTAAACTAGATAGTTATCCATGTTCTTCGATGCTGATACAAGACTAGTATGAAAGGAAGATTTCTCGACACGTTTCTGAAATTTCGATGAGCCTCTAGTTGTGTCACTGAACGCCATATTCGACTATCGTCAACGTCTACCTATCTGCTACCAGGAGATCTGCCATTGAGGGTCTGCAACAGTGCAATAAGAAATCTACTTACTGTTTTCCGTAGAAGATTGGACAAGACTGAATTTACGAGAGAGCATGCACCGTCTTATATACAACTGCAAGTGGGATTTCTGAGAATTTGTGGGATTTCTGAGAATTTCAAGAACCAAAGAATTACGAATTTGCACCGTAATCTATACAGAAATAGCAGATTGCTATATCCTGTGTTTGCTGGTCACGTGTGCAGGTCCGGTTTGGGGGTCGGGGAAGGAGGGGGCGGGGTGACAGTTTTAATTCGATCCGTTTTAAAGGTCCGTGTCCGAAACATGTCACAAACAGCGTCGTTGCAGTATTGACAAGTATCATTGTTCTCTCAGTCTGTTAATTCTCACACACTTCTACTCGTTCCCAAGAAGAGCTCCTTGTCTTTAAAGCTGCACATACAAACTCAGCATGGTTTTGTTTCTTTGTAAACAGTGTGCACGTCTTTGGTTGTGTTTACAGGCGGGCTACCCTCAAACCGAAGAATGACAAAATGAAAATGCCGCATGCATTGATGAGTACACACACACACACACACACACACACACACACACACACACACACGGATGGCCGACGAGTGGTCTACGACGCTGTCATGTCAGAGTGTCTTGGTGAGAGAGTGTCCTACCGGACAATGTCCCAAGGCGGTGGACTCCCTAAATGATCAGTTTTTAGATCAGTTTGTTTTCATTGTTCGACCTTCAAGAAACAGAGTTCCTGTACTTGTGATCTAAGTGTGACCATGTGTTCGAGACGGTGTGCTCACACAAAAGTCACTTTAATATTTATTCTATGTGTGGACCAAGAGAGAACTCCATAAACCTAGTCAAATAATCGTGAATAAAATACTGGCCGCCTCATTCTAACCTCAAAAAGCTTGTAGAATATGTTTTTCCTATATAACTACTCGCAGCATCTCCTACCAAGTGGACACTGACAATTGTTTACGGGTGGGACAGATAGGTGGGAACCAGTACTATCTAATGTTCAGATCATATGTTCAAACACTGAACGGTTACCATATATTTGACCTGACACGGTTGGGGGCTTTGCTAAATATATGGATTATATAACTAAAAAACAAATATGTCACAATGTGTAGGGAGTGAGTGAGTGAGTATGGTTTGATGCCGCTTTAAGCAATATTCCAGCAATATCGCGGCGGGGGACACCAGAAATGAGCTTCACACATTATACCCATGTCGGGAATCGAACCCGGGTCTTTGGCGTGACGAGCGAACGCTTTAATCACTAGGCTACCCGACCACCCCCAATATGTAGGGCATCGTTTATAGTTTTAGACATTTTCAATCTGCTACAATCATTGGAATTTATTTATCTTCCATCCTGGTGTTCTGTTTAGATTATGTTCTATGTTGAAAATAGTGTGTAGAACAGTTATTGATTGCACTTCAGTAAAACTCGAACTCATACAAACGTTGAATTACGCAAATGCAGACAAAGTAAATGTGAAAGATATCTATCTATACACATGCACAGATGCATACCCATAACCTTTCACCTCTTGGACGCAACGTTAAATCCCATTTCACCTCACATGTATCCGTATCGCTTCAAGCCAAGCTAAATGTGGGCGGTGGGATAGCCTAGTGGTTAAGGCGTTCGCTCGTCACATGTTCGATTCCCCACATGGCTACAATGTGTGCAGCCCATTTCTGGTGTCCCACGTCGTGATATTGCTGGAATATTGATAAAACCGCACTCGCTCGCCCAAGCTAAATGTAATTTGTTCATTATTTGATTTTTAGGCTGCTTCGTGGCACCGCGTGGTGGTCTATCTTCTCTGAAAGGTACCTGAAAGAATGTTTCCGTATATCAACACTTCTTATATCCGCACTTATCCACAATTCAGTTGGACAATTATATCAAAAGATACAAATTCTTCATTTTTACAATATCAAATTTATCCTTAAGATAGTGTGGCGCTACTGTATCATTTCTGACCACAAAACTTTCACTGGCTTCCATTTGCACTTTGAAAACACTAATAACAGATCCTCGCAAAACCGCACAAACATCGTTTTTACCTTTTACCTTATTTTTAACAGCGAGCCAGATAACAGATGATAGCTTAACGATCATTCCAAAAATCTTACGGGGAACAACAAACATGTTTCGTTTATTTCGGTTGAAACACTAGCAGCGTCTTTCTATGTTATCGCGATGACTGTAACCTTTTCTTGTCAAGGGCAGTTAAAGGGCAAGTTCACACGGAAATTAACCTTTTTTTCTTGTACTTTTTCCACATTAAAAGTGTTAACCTAGAAGTGTCATAGACAAAAATATAAAAATATCACAATTAATTAACATATTTTTCGCATTAAAACGATTTATATTTTTCACATTTACCAAGTGTTCTATTTCCACAACAAAAACACCATGGCTTGTGCCCCTTGCAATATGACGTCATTGGTGCCAATTGATAAACATTATGACGTCATCATGCTTTGTTAGAGCCGCTTCACGTGGTGTAGGTCTAGGTGTGTGATTCTAGCGTCTCAGATGCCAGCCAGCATAGTGTTATGCTGAGTCACCACTGCGCCGGAGTGTGTCGTAGGCCATGTTGTTTTACCGCAAACTGGTACTTGATATCTTTTGCGTTGAGAATAGACAGGGACCCAGTTGAATTGGCACCAATTACGTCATAATCTAAGGGGGATAACTCAGGCCTGTTTAGCTCGAAAAACGAAGGCCTCATAACGGCATATCATTTTCACACTATTGTGAGCTTCCTACTTTCACTGTGAAAAAAATGAGTGTATATTTTCAAACACAGATACTAATTAATTCTAAAATTGCGTTTTGTATAGAAAAAGAAAGAAAGTGATTTTTGCGTGTACACTTCCCCTTTAACTTATAGGGTCTATGAGTCACCCTTAAGGAAAAATCGATATAGTTGTCACCCCTGATAACTCTCCACTTCCGGCGCGTATACTATAAACGAAACATGACAGATGGTGAATACCTGACACTTGTTTATGAATAACAACCTCTTTCTTCTTTACAGATGACTCATATCAAAATAAAACAAACCGACCTAAATTAATAAATCAAATACTTAAAAGCTCCAACGACCTAACTAAGGCAGGCAAACAAATAACCTTCTTGTGGATACCCGCCCACGTAGGAATATACGGTAATGAAAACGCCGATAAGGCAGCTAAACTATCCCTCAAAATCCCAGAAATAAGCTTAAACTTACCCATCTCAAAATCAGAAATTAAAAGCGTAAACAAGCAAAAAATCACCAAAAAATGGCATAACCTATATCTAAACTCAAATAGCCGAATCAAAAAAGTACTCAGCAAACCACTAACCAAACCAAAAATTCTCCATCCATCAAAAAAAATCGACAGAGTAATCACTTAACTCCAAACAGGACATACCAACCTAAATAACCACCTAATTTTTTTTTAAAAACATACTACAGGTAACTGACCACACTGCAAACAACTAAAAAACCCAGAACACGCACGCATCCACTGCACACACTACCTAACACATCGAACCGCATTACAAACCACCCTCAATCTAAACAAGGCTCTCACTCTAGAAGCAATACTAAACCCACAAAATAAACTAGAAAACTTCAAGGCCTTAGGCGTATTCTTAATCAAAACGGAACTAATAAAACGCATCTAAAAACAATATAATCTACCAAATCAAAATTACATAAACAAACAAACATCCACCATACCCAGCTCCCTTAGTTCTCCTCCCCAATCCCATCGGCATCTATTCCAAATCTCAAAATCCCCAAATTCTATATAAGCAACCCCTAAAGCCCCCTCTTGGGTTGCACACACCACTTTCGCCCCTTTCGGAAACACATTAAATGGCCTGGCCGGGCCCGTGTGCGAAACACGCATCAGTCGGAAAGCGCACGTTAAATCTCCAAAGTAAGTAAGTAAGTAAGTAAGTTAAAACATATACAAATGTACGCAGCCAGAGGCTCTCTGAACATGAAAGTTTAAAATAGGGATGTTTAAAATTCACCAAATCTATAAGGCACTAGATATACATTTCCATCAATAATACATTAATGCGCGACGACGAGATAGCATATGATAGGTTTTGGTGACGTTGAAACGCATGCTTTGTTCGACATTATACATCTGTATTTCTGTACATTAGTTAAAGAACAGTATTTGTAAAAAACAACTAAATAATCAAGATCCGAAGATGGATTGTAGAAACCTCGGGGAACGAGAACAATGCTTGAATTAAAACCCTTGTTCAACAGTATTAGTGCTGTTCCAACAGTGACAATAGGCAATTGTTACAAGCGAATGGAGCCGCTTAGCGCATTCGAATAAAGGGCAGGTAAATATGGTTCCAGTGGATCCCATAAAGAGAGTGAGAGTGGTCTCCCTTTAACTACGAGTACAACGTATGAAACATTATAGGGCCTAATTGATTGAGCAGCTTGTCGTTTTTAAAATTTGGATGACATGCAGTTTGAAATCATTTTGTCCATCCATTACGAAAGATAAAAGTAAGTATATTCTTAACTGTTGTGTAAAAAATACGTAAGATATATATCATCGTTTGCCAATCTAGGTAGGTTGATTCACATAACACGCCTTCCCAAATTATCTATTTTAGCCTAAGCCACGTCGCAGTTTCAGGACATCCTTTATCTTGTATGTCAAGTGTTATATCTTCAGGATTTCTTACTCACATCGAGCGAAAGGATGTTTGTCATTATGCATGCATTTCATGTCCTGGTAGATAGCTTCCTTTTAGTATATGTGAGAGCCTACAGAGTGACCGTTTACAGTGGAAAGACGGATCTCTATTGTTGTGTGAAAATGGATTGGTAAACAAGCGAAGCGCTTATGTTAATACCGCTCCATTACACATAGGACATATTACAATGAATACATCAATGAAGGTTAGATGTAACAAATAAATTGTATATGCTTTCAGGATTTAACCTTGTTCAATAAGAACTGACATCGCTTTTCAGTAAACACGTGTTGTGTCCTTTATATAACATCTATGAGGCGCCGTTTTATTTATTTGAGATTTTATTAAATACAGCCAGAGACTAGTTTATACATCATGAATTATTGATATCACAAATTCGAATAAATGCTATCATAATCTTTTTTTA